TGGGTGGCTCAGTTGGTTGGACGACTGCCTTCAGCTCAGGTCATGATCCCGGAGTTCCGGGATCAAGTCCCGCATTGGGCTCCCAGCTCCATGGGGAGTCTGCTTCTCCCTCTGACCTTCTCGCTCATGCTCTCTCTCACTGTCTCTCTCTCAAATAAATAAATAAAATCTTTAAAAAAAAAGAGTTAAGGAAACTCAAATAATTTGATTTTTTCACATGATTTTTTCATTGTTATTATGACTTGATTGTGAAGGAAAAGAAAAAGCATGTACTTGACTAAGCTGTTTTTCATTTTTTGTGGTTGTTGACTGAATGAGCGAGCATTATTCTAATGGTCAGGCGAGGACTAGAAATTCGACATCCTTAATCAAAGTCTTTTGCTTCTTTTTCCTATCACAACTTCCTCATGATGACCTTTTATTTCCAAGGGAAATGGTAAATTAATAACCAGTAAACTTTCCAGTAGACTACCACTTAGATAATATGCCCACTTCTGCTAAAATTTGAGGTCAATAAGTGGTCTTTTAGCTGGCTATCTTCTTCTGAGCACTTTGACTTAATTAACTGACTTCTTTACTTCATTTTCCTTTACAGCCTTAGAAACCCAAAGCCAACCAACCAACCAGCCAAACCCCTCTGACTACCACCAGAGACAGAGTCCGAGAATATTCCTGGAACTCTGAGTTAAACCAGAGGTGACTTATGTTGGCTAAATCCTCAGACTCTGTAGCCAAACAAACATCTCGCCAGCTCAGGTCTGGCCACCCACCAGCTGTGAGACCTTAAGCAAATTATTTATCTTCTTTGGCAAACGTGGATAAGGAGTACACTTCTCAGAGGACTGTTGAGAGGATAGAGTGCAATGGACCATGTAACATTTAGCACAGAGCCTGGCACATGTGACGCATCTATTAAATGTAGGCTGGTAGGCACTAGCACTTTCATTGTTGTAATATGTAAAATTAGTAAATGGGACATCATTTAGTCTGAGACATCTTTTAAAAATTACACAGTGATTCTTATAGTTCCTTCATTATACCGTTAAAAGAATTTACTGTGAGGTAGTGCTATGTTTTGGTGTAAAAGCTATCTATTAGGATAGATTTCAGCAGAAAAATAAAAATGAATCTTTCATCTAATCAATATCTCTGATACCTATCATTATTATTCCTGGGTGTTCTATATAGTAGCTGTCAGCCTTTCTAAGAGAGTATCAAAGGGTTGGTCATTTTATGCCTAATAAAATCAGACAACAAAGCCATGTTGTTGTGACTGCCAAAATGCTTTTTAAAAAGCTTGGTTCTGACATAGGACTTTAAAATGCTTGTGAAAAACATTCAGGAAACTATTCAAACCTTGATCATTCATCACTGGTCTCTTAGGCTCAGACAACATTGGTTTGCTTAAGACCAACTATGTCTTTTAAATATTTCTAAGGCATTTTGGTCTTAGAGTTTCAATAAGCAAATAGGGGAAATGTGTGAAAGATTAACAGGCATTTTTTTTTTTTTCGTAGCAGGTAGACTTCGGTCAGCTCAGTTGTGCTGGGTTATCTGTTTTGTTTCTTATTTCATACAGTGGTCTCGAACGTTAAATATTAGGATACCTGACAGCATTTCACAATCTATTAATTCAGAAAAATCTTACCAGTTAAAACATTAGGCTTTAAAAATCAAACTGACCTCTGAAGACTTCTTTCTCAGAACCTGTACACTCAGTAAACAGTAAAGCCATCAGGAAAAGGAGGAGGATTCCAGAGAAACCTTATTAAGACAACAGGGAATGATCTATAATGTTTGTAGTAGATTTAGTGAGCCTCATTATATGGTGCACCTACAGCTTACTGTTAATACACTCTGACAGATATTTTACCCTGGCCTTGAAAGCTCAGTGGCCACAGTGCCTTGAAATGAACTTGGATAATGTGCAGGAATTTCCACCAGTCCCAAACATTTTGGAACGAAATACCAGTAATATGCACAAGGTACATGTTGGTTAAGCATGTGCTCTCCTTCTGTTTGGTGCATTTAGCTAACATAATGTGTTTCTATGACCATTTGGAGAAAGACCCAAAGTGACATAACAGAAAATCCTCATTCCATACCATTCAAATGATAATTAAGACCGCCATGAATTAATCTGCAAACCACCAGTGCTTCCAGTCTGCCAGTGCATACTATTTAAGGACTACTCAAAATCAACATGGTGCTTACCAGCAGGAAGCACGACATTCAGCATTTTCACCAAAAAGGACACTAATTTGATTACCCTGTGAAGCAGTCCTCATCTGTATTCAACATGCTCATAACTCTTCATACTAATGTGTGAGATTAAATGCAACAATTTCATGGAAAGAGAAGTATGTGGAACAGAGGACTGTGTGAACACTTGGTACTCAGTCTTACTTGAAAAACTCTGCAGGGATTACGGTCTTTAAAGAAAATTTCAATATCAACCAAATATGAAGAGCTTTTCTCACTGCAGAAATTCAACTTGTATGCATTCATTCAAGCTTTTCTAGTTAGGTTAAAACTGCAATAAAAATTTTCTGAGTTAAAATTCTTTACAAAACACTCTATCCTACAGGAACATGTTGAAGGGTGCCTGGGTGGTTCAGTGGGTTAAAGCCTCTGCCTTCCGCTCAGGTCGTGATCTCAGGGTTCTGGGATCGAGCCCCGCATCTGGCTCTCTGCTCAGCAGGGAGCCTGTTTTCCCCTCTCTCTGCCTGCCTCTCTGCCTGCTTGTGATCTCTGTTAAATAAATAAATAAAATCTTAAAAAAAAAAAAAAAAGAACATGTTGAAGGTCAGTTTTAAGTCTGAAGTTTGAAGTTGAATTGATGGAAACATACATTTTCTCCTTTCTTATTTAAATAAATAAAGCAGACATCCGAATACACCCCTTTAATAAGTGCACATGGATTTGTTTTCGAAATTTGTTAATGATTTTGTGTTTAATGCCTCTGTGGAGAGAGGATAGAGATGGTGATTTTGTCAAATATGTGCAGCTGTTATTTTACTGGTTAAAATATTATATATAGCTACCCTCGAATGTGGAGGAGTTTGAATTGACAACTATTTAAGTAATTTATGGATTTGTAAGGATTGTCTTCCTTATTCCTAAGTGATTTTAAAAGCCTATAAGACAAATAACCTATGTGTGTGTGCGTGCATGTGTATAAAAGAACAAAACCGAGCCTCTATTTTAAAATAAAATAAAGTTCAGTCTGAATTAACCTGTATCAAGCTGTGTCTAAAGTAAACGGCAAAAAAAAAAAATTCTTATTACTAGTAGACCAGTTGTATCTGTCCCTGAGACGAGGTACACTAATGTGAACAAATTTACAATTGTGACTATTGCAAAGAGAAACAATCAAGGATGTGGAAATTCTATATGCAGGTGAAGTCCAAGAACATACAAAGAAATCACTGGGTTAATAAATAGACTAATGTGTCAATCAATGGATTAATAATTTTAAATGTAAGAAATTAATTTGTACTAGGGGACATCCTGAATGGATTTTAAGGCAACATTTATGTACTTTTTTTTTTTTTAAGATTTTATTTATTTATTTGACAGAGATCACGAGTAGGCAGAGAGCAGGCAGAGAGAGAGAGGGGGAAGCAGGCTCCCCGCTGAGCAGAGAGCCCGATGTGGGGCTCGATCCCAGGACCCTGGGATCATGACCTGAGCCGAAGGCAGAGCTTTAACCCACTGAGCCACCCAGGTGCCCCAACATTTATGTACTTTTAAAAAGAAATCCATTTTAAAAATGATTCTTCTTTTGGTGACAAAGATGAAAGACAGCTTCCAGACTGTATTCTCTAATATAGACTCATAATAAATTACATTTTCTAAAGAGAACAGTAACCATGTAGGTACTATGTACTTATGTACCTGTTCACATCATACCAGTTTTAAGAACTGCTTCAAGAGAAAGAAATGAGTACTAACTGAATAAACAGTGCCTTGGTGGGGGGGGCTAATTCATTACTGAACCAGCCCAGCCCTAGTTGGATTATATACTGAGAAGTACATATCATACAACACTATAAGTTTGATAGGAAAAAAGTGTAACAAAATAGAAAATTAAAATGTTTGATTATATAATGACCCCAAATAAAGTTTTATAAATTCCTGAAGGATTTTAGCCAAAGAAATAAAAATACCCTTCTCAGAGATTTATTAAATCTGTTTGAATATTAATACGACTTCTTATAGTCGGTCTCCAACCTAAATATTAACTATGTGTGAATACACACCTCTGTTGTTACTCTATTATTAAACTATGGATACTATATCATATAGTGCCTGCCTTACTATATCTGCATTTAGATATATGAATATATACTTGAAAAAACTTTTCTCATTATTCTTTTTAAATTCAATAGGCATGACGAAGTCCACATTAAAAAATCAAGTTATTTCTAACTTAGTGGAAGCACTTGAGAGCCACTACCTTTTAGAAGAATCTGGTATAAATGCTTATGATGTACACAGGAAAAATCTATTTGTTGAGATTCAATTATATGATTTTTGAACCTTTCCCTGATAACAAATATTGTCATTCACGGCAGCCTATAGGGATAGTTAAAATCCTCAAATTGTAAAAGTATGCTTTAGGAATGTCTTCTCAATTCTGCTGAAAAATCAATTTTTTTACGATGCCGAAATTTATAGAATTTCCTACCCTTCTTCTTTTTGCAATTTTTGTTTTAGTTCTGACACAATGCAATAAGAAAAAAGTACTTTCAGTAGATTTCTCTATTGAAACTTTTCTGCCAGATCCTGTATGTGGGTAATGGGCAATTTGAATACAAACATATTCTCGACAACACCCAGAACCATCAAGGCAGCTTAAGTGTATTCTTTCTCATACCCGTGGGTTATTATTACGAAGGGACCCACGTATGCCATGGGGGAGGGGAGGAGTGGGAAAGGACCAGTGTGTTAAAGCCAATTATGTCTCATACATAAAAGTGCACGTTTTAACTACTTGAAAAAAGTTCACATTTATTTACTGTCAAACCGTGTTAAACTTTACACTGGATATTAGTGATGGGCTCATTATTAACAGGTTTACACAAAGGGATGAAAAGAAAAGCAGAATTTTGCGGAAACAATTTACATTTCATTAGAACTTTATCATAAAATAAATTAATTACTAAATATAGGCAGAAGGAATATGGAAGAGTAATATTTATGTTTTATTTTATTTTTTAAAAAAGAATAGGCACCTTTTGTTCACTAGAAAGTTTGTGAGAAGTGCCCAGTGCCCTCATTGCCCTCCGTTCAAGAATAAACAGAGAGGTAACACAGACTCTTTTCTAGATTTCCCCACATTTGTGCAAGGCATGGCGTAACTGGCTTCGAAGAGTTTTTTTCCCCCATAAAACGCGTTCTTTTGGCAATAAGAAATTTAAATGTAAGAATAAAGACTAACTGGTCAAAGCAGAACACTGTGTACAGTGGAAAATAAGTGAAAATGGGTAGAACTTACCATGACAGAGTGTAAGAAAAAACATTTCATAACATATGTGCAACCGAGAGCTTTTCACAATATTTTCTTCAAACTCTTTAAAATTATTTTAATGACAATTATATTTCAGTTGGACACAAATGTATTTATTTTACCCTAGCAATAGAACAAAATATAATTTCTTTAGCCATTTCTCATGAGAATAGTTCATTGTACAATTGAGGAAACATATGAAATAAGGCCTGTGGCTTGATTGCTAGTGGTTAAACATGTTTTCAATCTTTGCCTTAATGTAAAAGATTTGCAGTGAACGAACTGCAAACTGATGCAGAATGGCTCTCCTGCTTTTCCAAGTCTTGTCAGGAACAGTAAGGTACAGTAAATTTGTCCCACAGGATTTTAAAGCCTACGTCTTGTATATAATACAATGCAGGCCTACAAAAACGGTGCAGCCATATTTACAGATTTAGTTCACAGACTGCTGCAGTAGAATGGCTGGAAAAGTTTTGTTTTGCTTGCTTCACAATTTCTCTAAACAGCAGCAGAATCTTAAAATACCTGGTTGGCATCTCTTTTCTTTGTAACAAATAATCATTTTAGTATACTCTGTGTATATACAAAGTTTCTGTACGTTCTATAAAAATTCACAGAACTTCAAGGTTCAGTCATCTTTTTACACTGGAGAACCACAGGTCAACAGAGCCATCTCTCCGAGCAGAGTCTGAGGGAGCTGCACTGGGCCAGCGGAGTCTTTATTAATACTTGCCTGTGGCCCCTGGAATTCCTTAGCTGCTCTATTAAAGACTCGTGACCAGCTGCATTTGTCCTTCTCTAACGTCTCCTTCGGGAATACACCCTTCCTTGTTAATGGGGATTATGTAACCATCACTATTGCCCCTGCTGATCTGGTAACACATCTGAAGCTGATGGCCAGCTCCAAGATTTGGCATGCTTTTATAGTAAATGTCCTCGTTCTCACTCCTCCTGGAAGGAGAGAGGTCCTCTTCCATGTCAGGGCTGCTCTCCTGGTAGGGGGAGTCTCTAAGATTGGGCATGCTTGTATAAAGAGAGTCTCTGTTGGGGGACTGGAGGTGGTCCTCCGCCTCAGCGGTCAGCTGGGAGACGTAGCTGTCAGTCCCCTCGGGCTTCACCTTCTTCTGGGGCTGGTACAGAAGGGAGTGAGTCCGCTGAGGAATGAGCGGCGCCTCAAGCTCCTTATGGTGGAGCTCCAGCCCCGGGTTGTCGCCGTGCATCAAAGAGGAAGCGTCGGCCACGATCGCATCGTCTTCGCTGCTGCTGCCGCCGATCACAGGTTTGACTGGCAGCGTGAGCTCGAGGTTGTGAGTCTTGCTGCCGCCCCGCAGGTTGTTGTGCACTAACTCTGAAATGATCATCTTCTCGAAAGCGGTATCATTCAGACTTAGTCCACAGTCCACGACTTGCACGCTGTCATTATAGTCCCCCTTGCGCAGTGAGTAGCTGTTGTTAAAGTTACCATTTAGCGGTAGAGTATCCATGGCACTTGTATCCCTGGCATTGTTCAGTGAATGTCCTGAAACGGGAAAGGGGGGGTTTCCGTTACTGCCGCTGTTCCTTCCCAAAGCATCGTTACTTCTTTTGTACAAAACTTTTTAATGTCGTTCAGGACAAAGTTGTATTTGAAAGCTAACACTTGAACAGTGCCAGGCTTTCCCGCATTCCCAACGGTAAACAGTTGCAACCCCTTTGATAATAGGAAGAAGTGTGAAAGAATAATACTGTTTTCCAGGGAAGATGGCATACAGAATATTATTTGATCAATTTCGGGGAGATGGTAGTTATCAATTGATTTTTGGTCAAATCTCTGACACTCTTAAAGGAAGACTTCACTCCATGCCCTTGCATAGTTAATGCAAAGCAATTCATTAGTGACATTTACATTTTAAAGTACGAGACTATGGTTCATAAAAATAAAATTAACAGAATTTGTCCTAAACAACACTAAATTAAAAAAGGAATAAGTCACATACAAAAACTGAAGGCAAATGTACAACAGAAACCCACATAACTGGCAAGCAACTTTTTAAACGACATTCTAACATTTCCTTTTTCTGGAGATGGAGTAAAAAAAAGAATGAAAAAAATGGACAGATACAAAGAATCATGTTCAACGAAGACAGCCATCTCTCACACTGACGGGACCAAGGGCCCACAAGCACCATCCGACAACACGATAGACAGCAGGTGGAATGACTCACTTTGGACAACTCACATCATGTCTGTCTGCTCAGGCTATCTGGCCTAAGAGTAGCTGATATATAAAAGAAAGTAAAATGATTTATTGTAACATGATGAAGAATTTCTAAGCTTCTCAGCAACTTAGTCAGAGCAAGGGTTCAACAAATTAGATTACCAGCAATAGCAGCCTTTTGCTTTTTCATTTAATAGGTATCGTTTTGATTTTTTTGTTTCCTTTTGGTACTAATACTCTCTCTAATCACAACGGCCCCAGGCTCCTAATGGTCAAAGTTTGCCTGCAGCCCTGCAGTTGCATCAGCCACAGTGACAGCACCGAATGAACCAGCAGAGTCTACTGTACGAGACTGGCCCACAGACACCATGGGCATGGAGGTTAGACGCAGAAATGTTAGAGATTTCTTAAGTATGGGTCACAGAAATCAAACCAATAATAGATATTAACTATGGAATGGGAAAAGGGTGTCAGCCTTGGCTAATATATATTTATCTCTAAAGGAATGAAAGACTGGATAAGTCTGCTGAAGATATGAAAAGAGGTTTAGAAGGAAAAAAAAGATGGTAACATGCTCTCTTGGAATCAGAGTTGTATTTTCTACAGACACATAAACATGTAAACTGAGACATCACAGTGCTTCTCAGGCAAATGAAAATAAAAAGTTTTAGAGAAAATTAAATGATCTGCACCATGGTAAGTTAGGTTATTCATTCTCAAAATCCTAGAGAAAAAAAAAATCACTTGTTTACAGATAGGTCTGGAAAAAAAAAAGAATGAAATGATGTTACTGAATGACACTGGCCACTGTGAGGCTGCTGCATTGTATGCAAGGCTTGGAGGAGTTGAGGAAAAATTTCATTCTTGGAAAAAATAGGAAATTTCCCTTTTTAGTGCTGACTCCACTCTTAAAGCTGCAGATTATCCTAGAAAACTCGATTTTATGACCAATAAATATGTGGGAACTGTTCAATAACTTCTCATTAGCAGAAAATGAGTAAGTGTGTGTGTGTGGGGGGGGTATACCTGTTGGTGACTCGTTTTATTTAAAAAAAAAACTCTGATCCAACGTTTACATTGGAAAAACGGACAATTTCATTTCTACCAGGCTCCACATATAACAAAATGAAGTTATTACAATAGTATCTGTAAGGCTTCCTTTAGTTTGATTGACATAACTGTCTAGCTTCCTAATTCATGCATGTGCCACCATCTTTATTTAGAAAACATTTGGTGTTTAAGTTCTAGGTGACACACAGATCACTTGCTAGCATTTGTTTCCTCTATCGAGGTTCGATCTTGCAATTTTTCTTTCCTTTTACCATTGCTTAATAAATATAAAAATATATACTGGGTAATGCAAAAGGTGTTTTCTATGATATACTGCAGATTTAAGCACATCTTTGACTGGTTTTGAAGAGGCAACTTTTTCTGCCCAAGTTCAGGTAATTCACTTGAAGACTTTCCACAGCCTGTAGCAAGATTACTGTGGGAATGCAGAAATGATAAGTCAATTATTAAGCTTTCTGGTTGACAGCACCTCAGGCTTTAAAGAGCAAATTATTTCAGCATTGCATATACTTAAGTATGGACAGCATTTGCTACAGACCTCTATTACTGACAAAAGGCAGTACAGACAGAAGTACTGTTTGAATTTGGTACCAGTTTAGTTGGAAATTGTGAACCACTTGCCCGCTGAGTCTACTTCATGACTGCTAGTTATGTTTTAATTGTGCCGGTTTAAAAATCATGCTGAAAAAATTTACATTTGATAGGCAAAGTTAAGTTTGACTCCCATACTTGTCTCTCTGTAGGTTGCTAGAGGAAAGCATAAGGAAAGTAAGAAAAACAAGAGAATGAAAAGAGAAACTGCAGTTACGTTAAAAAAGAATTTAAGAAAAAAAAAAAAAAAACGGAAACAAAGTTCTTTAATTTAGTGGCAAATATCAATCACAAATAAATATTACGTGCTAGCAATAATTATGTGATAAGTTTTACTGAAGTCTTGCAAACTGTCTTAATATTAAATGCTTTTTATTTTAATAAGCTATTAGAAAACATAGTAATACAGGATGGGTTAGTGACAATCTCTCCCCCTCCCCCAATAAACAACTAAAGGTATAAACTGACTAATAGTAACTTCATTCTCAAAGTTTTGTTTTTTTTTTTTTTTTAAGGAAAAAAACAAACAAACAAAAAACCACTACCATAAAGCTGCACTATACTATAGTTTGGTTACATTGATAATGCTGGGTGTAGTTTTCTATACCTAGGCATCCAAATTATCTTTATTAGCTAATTCATTCCAGAAGCAAATTCTGTCTGCAAGCTTTAGGGTAAACTGAACAGTATATTACATAGATAGGATACCTCTAAATGATATAAATCTTGAAGATGGGCTCTCGGACCATGTGATGTCAGTCCTGTAATAATATATTAAGATTTATGCCACCTGTGTTAAAAACATGGATAATTATTGGTAAATACTATCATGACTGAATTTTTACTATAATATAGTGCAGTTTTAGAAGCCTGGCATGGGCAATACCGTAATTCTTTAAACTGAGAAATTAAAGATGTAATAATAAATATATGGCAACTTGAGTACTCTAGAAAAGGGGCAAAGATCAGAGCTCTGTTTAGCAGCAAAGAAAGGTAGTTTTATTCGTAAGTATAAGCACACCTGGTGAGTTAAATACAGGAGCTGAAGGGGCATTACATACAACTGTTTCAGCGAGCAATGTGTTATAGGGGTTGTTAGTGCCGTGGGGTCGAAGAAGAGGGTTTGTTAGTAGGTAATTGCCAGTCATTCCTAAAGCAAAGAAACAGAAAAAAAATACATCAGTTCTCTTATTTTTGTGTTACAGTTGCAGTAAAGTACTTTTTGTATTCATCAAAGGTAGCAGACAAGTTGGCAATGGATTATCTGCTGAAATTTTCTGACTGTATTTGAACTACTAATTTGAAGGAGAAAGGGGAGAGGGAAGTTAAATTTCAGTAATTCACAGGTGCTTTCTAAGTCCCCCAAGTAAACACCTGCTGAGGATGACATTTACTAATTTATACAAAATCACTTTTAAACAAAAACGGCAATTAAATGCACAGAGATCAACATTATGTTTCAAGATGTTACTGCTTAATATTAAAAACCTAACCACTGAGGCCCAGAAGAGGGAATCTCAAACTTTCAGATTTACAGGTGTGGGATTATCCCTCATGAAAACATCTGTGTTAATATCAACTTTGACACAAGCAGGAGGAAAACAACTTTCACAAACAAGTAAAAAGTACGACACACTGCACAAAGCTTCTCTTAGTAAATGCGAGAGCACACATGCCAAGGGGGAAGAAAGAGACTGTGTGTATAATGAATTATTAGACCATTCACAAACTCCATATAGTAAGAATTTTCATTCCGTAATCTTATTTGCCAGGTTTCAAAAATGAATCATTGAATAATTCATTTCCTTTTTGATAGTCATCTTAACAGAATTAGGTAAAACATCAGAGCAATGGAATAAACACACATTTCACTCATTCTAATTGACAAATTACAAACCTTTCAATACCTATCAAACATATGTTTTGCATAGCTAATGTAATTTGACTAAAAATACTTTAAAATTCAAGTTGGTTTTGATGCCATACATACTCCTTTCTTCATTTTAAACCAGAATCTCATCAGAACAATGTCAACAGTGAAAAATGTCTTTAATATTTGTGATAAAATAGAACATGTTCTATTATATTACAAATCAATATATCAAAACAAATTACCTGGATAAATTACCATTTTAAGGATGTATATATATATATATATATACACACAATAACATTATTTTTTTCATATCAAATTCAAATTTACTAAGCTTGCACTCAGGATTGTGTGTGTCTACGTGCACTTGTGTCCTTATCCTGCTTAATTATTTTATTTGCCAGCTTATTTTAAGTAATAATTCGTCATTTATACAAGTTTAAAATTGTAAACACATTAAAATAGTAATTCAAATAGAAAAAACTGCTTTATAGACTCTCATGTATTTAATTAGTTGCTTATGAAAATTTACTATAAATGTTTTTGACACTTTTTTACTTTTGGAAAGAAGTGTAAAGTAAAATAATTTTACAAATAAGAATTTTCACCATAAAATTGGCAGTTTAATGTGAATAGTAGTTATTCTAACTATATTAATGTTTTAAAAAGAAAACTTCCACAAATGTCTCAGAAAAGATAAATTTGTATTCACTAAAGGAAAATATTTTTAATCTGTGGCAAAATATGTTCTTAGTAATTACTTTTTTCAGCCTTATTCTGTTACTGTGGAGTTTAAAGTTCTACTTTTTGCATTACATTATTGAGTAAGACGAATTTATATGTACTTTCATAAAGGATAAAAGTTGACTCAACAGGTTTAATAGCTTGTGATATAAACCCATTCGAGAGGAAAAAAATCAGTAGTTTCTCTAGAGTTATTATAAATTGGCAAAAGGTACAAAATTTATATTGTAAACTCAAATTTTCCTAGTAACTGACCTTGATTAAGTGTTGAAGTGCTATTGATGTCACCTGAGATAAAAGAAGATTCAGACTGTTTTCTCACAGTGTCATTCCACATCCTTCTTATACGACTCTATCAATATAAAATAGCAAGACATATGTTATGTTAGTTTCCCCAACCTCACCTTATTAAAGACACATAAAGATCTACCCTGAAGAATCTGTGGAGGATTATCTGGTGGCTGTTAAAAAGAAATGTGTGTTGATTCTGGTCTAAAACTAAGGAAGTCTAGAACTGAAGAATGAATATTTAATCTTCCACTCTTCGTGGAGATGACAGATTATTTAACAAACGTTTAGTAAGTGCCCACCATGAGTACCGTGCTATGTGACCTCAGGGTATCCCAAAAATGATCATATACATCTTAAAGAAGTTTCACTTCTCAAAAATGATGCTCACACCTAAAGAAACACCTTGAATAAATACTTAAGAAGAAATTAAGACCAAAAAACTAAAAAAGCAAGTATTTGCTACCTAGATCATTATAATGAGGAGACAATTAGTGCATCTGAACAGAACATGTCTCGGTAGGCTTTCTATAAAGGAGGTTAATTAAAGATGTTGTCAAATTCTTTGTTACCTGTGTGCCAGAGGAATACCGAGCACTAGTTCTGGTGGTTGATGCCTTCACTGAACTGTGGGGGCTCTCAGTCGGGAGGCTGCCGCAGCAATAGGAGTGTCTGAAGCACTTGCCATATTCTTTTCGTACCTGCATTGAATAACCACGAGACCGAGAGATTAACACAAACATACTTGCTTCTCTCTGTCGCTCTAATTAAATAAGCAGTGGAAACAACTGAGAAGAATAAGTTCACTGACACATTTTTGTGGAGCGAATAAATTGAATTTCTAAAATCAAGTTCAACTGAAAATGCTGAAATAGTAATCAGAAAAATAACTTTGCCTACCAGACTGGCTAGTAGGAGCTTCAAAATGTGATGTAATATGTGAAAATGTTTGATGCCTTCTTGTTACACAAATGTTATTAATACATACGTAATAATGTTTTAAAGCTTTATCTACATACTTAGCAACCCCGATTTTATATTTTATGCTAAGAAAAAAAGGACAAAAAATTAGAACGTTCCTGCTTAATTACATTTAACCACTCATAATCCAGTCATTTAAGTTTCATATGCTTCATGTCCTTTTACGTAGGTCAATACATAAACTTCTTTTACCGGATTGCATACTTTCGCAGGTAACCTCTTTATAATGACAAGACTACTTTGGCACACGAATAAAGAAGAAAAGGACTTTGATACATATGCTATTAATTAGGATGGAATGTTTTCTTCATTTTCTGATGTGTCTAGCTTTAACATTTAGTGTAGAGAGTCTAAGATGCCTATTCACTTCATTAGCACACAAGGGAACTATTTATGCAATTTCCAATCACATTAATGTGTTACCCATGTAATTTCCCTTTTCCCCTGAAGCTAGGATATATGAATAGATAGGAAAGCTGTTAGGCCTAAAGAAAGTTTAAAGTCAACTTTAAAAACTGAAGTCCAAACAATTGTAAAGAATAGGGCCCCACCTAGAAAGGTGGTGCAGAATTGGGAGGAGTGGAAAAGAGGGCTGGATTTTGTGCAGCTCTATTGGCCTATGAACAAGTTCCGCTCTGGCTTAGAGCCAGACTGAAATTAGAACAGACAAGAAGGAGACTCTGCGTAAGAAATTACTGTCTTTTTATTTTTTAATTTATTTATTTGATAGACAGAGATCACAAGTAGGCAGAGAGGCAGGCAGAGAAGAGAGGAGGAAGAAGGTTTCCCCGCTGAGCAGGGAGCCCAATGTGGGGCTTGATCCCAGGACCCTGGGATGAGGACCTGAGCCGAAGGCAGAGGATCTAACCCACTGAGCCACCCAGGTGCTCCAAAGAAATTACTTTCCAGTAGGTTGCCAAAAACACTCAAAAAGACTCCTCCCTACCCGCCCCCCCCCGCACCCCCTTCCCCACCCAACACCATTCTATTCTCAGTATCTGCTTGCAGACCCAGGACTTGGACAATTATTCCTTGAAACCCAAGTGCACTTGCATTTTCATCCTGTTAGCCTTATTTAACTACACCTATTAGAACAAATAACAATGGGCTTGAACTTTCAAAGCATTTTCTTGGCCTAAATATGCTCACTCAAGCAGTAAGAAGCATGATTTTAACTAACTCATTTTGTATCATATTCTTAGCCATTCATACTGGCAGCACCCAACAGGACATACCCAAGACTAGGTAGAACGTGTTCAAAGGGAAGTCTAACACGTTGTTCAAAAAATGTGATTTTTAATTAAAAAGCACAGTAATGGGGTGCCTGGGTGGCTCAGTGGGTTAAAGCCTCTGCCTTCGGCTCAGGTCATGATCCCAGGGTCCTGGGATCAAGCCCCACATCAGGCTCTCTGCTCAGCAGGGAGTCTGCTTCCCCTCCTCTCTCTCTGCCTGCCTCTCTGCCTACTTGTGATCTCTCTCTGTCAAATAAATAAATAAAATTTTTATAAAAAAATAAAAAGCACATCAAAATCTCTTTGTTCAACTAATACACATCACCTGTAGAGGAAATAATTTATGCTTTATGTTAAACACTTTTGGAAGAAATTATGATATGTGATCCTATACATGTATACAAAAGGCTCGTTTGTGTAAGGTAAAGTAAAAACCAAAGTAATTACAAGATTATACCTGTATAATGTTTAGAAAATTAAAGTTCAGTGTTATTAAATAACACCTGATACCGCACAAAATTTTTTTTGGGACATTTCATGGCTATTAACTGCTCTGAAATGCTGTATGACCAAGCCTATGGCAATCAAAATGGTATTTTATCCAAATAATACCCTCCAGTGTTGGTTTTGCCTAATGCCTATATTGCTGTGAATGTACATTATCTGTCAGTATTGCACATCCCACTGTCATTATCTCAAAATTATAGCTTACTCAACAACTGATGGAAGTAACAACACTATCATCTTGTCAGGACTGAAAACATAATAGTTTTCACTTTCAAAATTCTATTTCGCTGTTCAATTTAGTGACCAACTAGTAATAACAGAATAAAAAGACTATATTAGATATGCAGGCAGAGAAAAGATGATACCTAGTCAAAAGGCGGCTAAGCTATTCTCTTAAGGTTTACATCTTCTTGCAAGTTTTTCATCTTTAACTTTAATTTTTGAATCATTTTTGCTGACTCCAGTTAACATAAAATCAGGACAAAATAATAAGATGTGAGATATTAAATTACTGGGTTTTAGATTTTTCATGACGACTCAAAAGGTAACATTAATATTAATTTTTTGTATGTCTGGTGCTTTTAAAATTAAGGTCATTTATCCTTATGTTCAATTTCATTTTGGAACACTGCATTCCCTTTATCAAGCAAAAAAATGAGATTATTTAACCTTTTATTATTTTGTATACTTTTTTTTTTAAGATTTTAGTTATTTTTTCATGACAGAGAGAGAGAGAGGCAGAGGCAGAAGAAGGAGAAGCATGCTCTCTGTAGAGCTGGGAGCCCGATACAGGACTCGATCCCAGGACCCTGGGATCATGACCTGAGCCGAAGGCAGACACTTAACCAACTGAGCCACTGAGCCACCCAGGGGCCCCTATCTTATATACCGTTTGCACAAAGCATGTTTGTAGACCCCACTAGCAAAGAAGAAATCTTAACATCAGTGTCTAATATTTTCAAAGTGAGATCCAAAAAGATGATTGGTATTGACTTATTTTATATGTGAAGCCTGAATTTCCAGACATGCATGACAATTAATTTATGATTAAATATGATTCTATTTAGTAATATGTCAGCTGTAAAATTGTAAAATCTCCATTTCATCTCTGATTTTCAAACCAAAGAACAAACAACTAGAATCTGTAGGTGTCTTCACTTACTTTCTTTTGGAGAGCACAGTGAAAGATGAAAATGAACACTCCCTGGAAAGCATTAAAGATGGTGAAGAGATATGCCATCACAATAGTCTCCTCATTAATAAAAAGCAACCCAAATGACCAGGTTAGGCCAAGAAGACATAGAAGAGCAAAAGCGCCAAGCACCCAAGACCTGAAAAAATAAAGTGAATTTTATTAACAAGTTCAATGAGAGAACACCACATCACACTTAAATATTAACATATCAGTAGTAGCGGTTGACTTTCTCTATGTTCACATTCAAATTCAACAGCATTTTGGCTTTAACCTTTCATTGATTAGAGAAAGAACAATAGCATTTAGTACTGCAGCCTCCAGTGAAAACAGCAACAGCAGGTATGACCTTTTCTTACTCCAGCATTAACAAGGTATCAGAACTATATTAAAATACAAGGTGTAAAACATCCCCCATGACTTTATTGTCTTTTATGTGCATTTTAGTCAAAGAAATTAAGGAGTCCTTAATTAGTTTACTCCTGTCTTTTTATCCCTGTGGTGCACTCATGACACTGAATAATGTGACACATACAGAAAGGTTAAATGGCAGATAATCACTTCACACCTAAACTGTAGATTCTAATAAACTGATCTGAGGTGAGCCTAAGGTATTTTAACTAAAGCATGAAGAAGCCTCGCTGAAATGGGACAAAAATATGAGAACAACTTTAAATTAAAATAATTTTGGAGAGATTTCATCATGAATAGCTTAAGGAGAAAAGAACTGTAGAAAATAGGACGGAATGGAAAGGATTTAAAGTCAGTGCATTCCATGTCTAACTAATGATCTTACTTGATAAATGGCTTATTATCTTCATAGCTAGAAAGCATTATAAGCAGAAAAGAGAAACAAAATTATTAGACAGAATTAAAATAGAAAGTAATAAGAAAGCATTTGTATATTTTATAAATTAGTCAAAATTAAGAAAGTCAAAATGCAGAGGCAAGCAATTAAAAAATAAAGGCATATTATAGTTTTAAAATACTACAGCAAATTAGATATTCCAAAATAACTATAAAAATTAAGGGCAATTCATGATATTGACGGATTTGTAAAAAATATAAATCATGCCATAAATTTGTTAATGTAGGGTTCTACCTTACCCAGGTAAGTCCGTATTATAGTAGCCATCACAAACACGGTAATTACTGGTGTAGATGAGAAGACAGAAAGAGGAAAAGGAAGAAAAGAGAGAGATGCTAAAGATTAGCTCTCTCTCTTACCATGCAACATGCAATGAAGCTGGCACTAACCTATCTAAAACATCTAATTTTTTAAAAGAAAAATTACCCTAACTATAGATCTGCCATTTTTTACATTACAAATATTTTTCACAATCCCATTATAACCAACTTGAATAATACCTCCTCAAATCTTAAATTAACTCATATCTAAAAGATAACTCTGAAAATCCTTCCATAAATGACTTAATGAATCAACAGCTATCAATTATTTAATTAGATAGCATTTTCCATTGATAGGATATTGTAGTTTTTATTCAATATTGAAATAAAGTAAACATTTCTTTAATTATCATGAAAAACAACAGATAATCTCCAAGTTAACAATAGTAATAGAGTAAATTATCTTAGGAAAACAAGATTAGAAGTAGAAACTGCTCAGAATCCTTAAATCAAAAAAGTCATTTAACAAAACAAACTTAATATCATCACATCAGCCATGCAAACAGCAACATCATTTTGAACTGCATTTTAAATTTAAATGAAATTGCTACAGTGATATGGAATTTCCGCAAAGCCGCTGAAAAATTTCTTGGCTCTAGATCAAGACAGAAATCATTATCTAATTTTTGACCAATGTCTGTGACATGGTTAACAGTGAGACTCAACCTTGATCAGGAAAACTTCATTCTGAATAATTTCTACAGTTGAAGGAAAGCATTTATGTATTCTCTGTGGAGAGTATCTTTCACTTAGTTTGTCAAGCACTAAAATTAAAATACTAAATACTTACTTAATGTTTTCCAACCTGCTAGAATCTGGTTTCAAAGTGTTTGAGTGCTTCACCATTTTGCATAATGTGATCACCAGGAAGATAATATTTAGCTGTTACAACAAATAAAGAATTAGACCACTGTAACCACAGAGTAAAAAAATGAGCAAGTTTTGCAAATACACTTAATGAGTTAATGCAGCTAAATATCAATGACATGAGTATATAGTAGACATTCACTGACTCAATTTTACATAGGCAATGATCAAGTTGAGTCTAAATAAAAAATACTCCAGCTATGTATGATCGATTTTTTTAATAGATCATTTGACATGAAATTACAACCTCATTAAATCAGCATCATGTGGTGATGATTAAATAAATTAGAAAATCTAAATTAGTTTCTTTAGCTAAAGGTACTCCAGGGCCTAAAAGCCATCTAATGGAAACACTGAAGTGAATTCTTCAGAAGTGACATTTACATCATGTAGTTTACGAGAACTGCGGGATTTGGGACCTTAAGACTTAGCTGAGAGTCTAGCTTTTGATTTTGACTGATTAGAGAAAGATAATTACATTTGTATGATCTATTTGTAAGGTAATTGTGAGAATCAAATGAAATAAAATATATGAAAAATTATGAAAAAATACATGAAAAATATTTATTAGTTCCAGAAAGACAAACTTTTAAAATATTTTATATATTTGCTACTAAATGGTTAAAAGCCATCAGTCCTTTTGTTCTTATGCCTCTCTGTTGAATGGGTGTAGGAAAATTCTGAAGAAAGGCTGCCTTGAGTCCCTCTAAACACTGAGCTGTGTAAAGAATCTAAGTGCAAACAAAAGCAAAAAGAGGAAAGATGGAACCAGACATGGAAGGAAAGTTTGGGAGGTCAACATCAGTGAACTGAGAAGAAAAGACATGTTTTGACTGAAGAGAGATAATGTGTGCAATTTTACATTTGCTTGTACAGAAACCTAGCAGAATGCCGGACAGAGGGAAGGCAGTTCTATTTTTACGCTCTAAAAACAGAACTAAGCCTGATCACTCCTGGATTTCTTTGACATTTTATTTACTTCTGATTATTACTTTTAAAAAGACAAAACAAAATTCTATTTTGTGAGCTGTACTTGGCTTAGACAGTGCAAGCCCCAATGGTGTATTCAGGAAAGGACAAATAGGGACAAAAGCAATTCCTTGGTGGTAAACACTCAACATAATTTTGTTATAATAAGATGATCACTTTTACTGAGTCACAATACCATCTGATAAAATGATAATGCTGTTTTACTCATTCATCACTACTTCTGATTTTGTAATTAGGAAAATTTATATAGAGCAATAAATAAAATTTTCAAGTTGTTCCTAATGAGGAGTTTAGGAACACAGTGAAGGCTTTCATCTAAGCTGTTTATCACTCATTTTGTCAACTGTGCCTTATTATTTCTCTTAGATGTAGAATTTCCTCTTAAGGGATAAAATGAGGTCAATGGGTATAATTTGCAAGTGTTGGCAGATAGCATTCTATCGTTTCATGTTAATTACTTAATATTAACAAAAGAAGGACAAAAGAAACTCTCTGTTTAAAACACCTACTTAAACATTAACTTATTAAAATACTTGTCCAGAGAAAAAGCAAACAAATATGTAGAAACACTAGCTTTATATTCTAATGATTATTCCAGGTGGTCACATATAAATAAATATTTACATTTTCAGAGATATTACAATATAATGCAATTCATTCAACTAATATGTATTGACCTTACTGCTCCATACAAGAATGTGCCTATTGTATTGCACGTAAGATACAATTTCTACCTTTGAAAAGTTAGGGAGATCCTTCTGAGGACAGTAAATAGCGGACTTAGTTTCTAAAGATGATGGTACAGTACATCTCTAATTTTTTAAAGGCAAAATAAACAGTGTTTTTACTTTTTATTTTATGCAACAGTAGGTCTTAACTAATAAAATTAGAGAATGGTTACCAATAAGAACTCCAAATATCCTAAAAACAAACAAAACAAAATGCAAATAAACACACTGATGCAACTCTTAGGGAAAAAAAGCTGCCTTGTAAATTCAGAGTTAAAATCCTTTAAACTTCTGGACCCTTCTTTTTGAATGTCGTAATATAACCATTTCTTTCTTTCATTCCGTAATTCTGGACCTTGGGTTATTTCTTCCCCCTTCCTTTTCTTGCACAATTTCGTAAAACATATAGGGCCACAATTTGGTGTTCATCACTTCCTAAGCATGTTAATTAACCCCTCAGGAATAAATAGTAGTGGTAGTACACTCCAGGAAGGAAAAAAGTGATACAACTTCTTTGTAGAATTGTATAATGTAAAAACTACAAGAAAATAAAGAACGCGAATTTGGAAAAATGTGGATGTATAAGGTATCATGTTATGAAAAGAAAAGGAGTACAAAATGTGAAATCTTGAGGATGAACACATACCAACATTTTTCAATGAAGATGACCATGTTAAAATTCTGAAGTAAAATAGTTACTAAAGAACTAACACATTTTCAAATAAAACTGAAATGAAAATGGAGTCTACCCACTGAAGAATAGAATTAAATTTAAATATGATACAAAGCCATTTCTTTCTTTCTTTCTTTCTTTTTTTTTTAAGACAGAATTAACCAAGTTGAATGTGACACAGAAAGCCTATCTTATTTAATCCTTAAAAAACAACCTGGTAGATAGATACCTCTTCTCTCCTTCCTCTCGTATCACGCCACTGAGGATTGTTAACATTTATATGTGTTTAGTGCTTCTTTCTAGTTACAAATATAGTACATTCCCTTATAATAATCCTGTGTCCAGAGGTAACAGGAAGCACTTGGAGAGTCAGTTTACATTCTAAGATGTTAAGTACCTTGCCAAACATTACTTAGGTGCTATAATATCAGTGCTGGGATTCAATACACTTTGTGATGGCTCCATAGCCCAGCAACTTTACAGATAGAATTAACCAGTTTATTCTGGTGAGAAAAGTAAGAGTCTCTCCTAGCAAAGCAAAAACATACTAGTTTTTTATTAAAAAAAAAAAAAAAAAAAAAAAAAAAAAAAAAAAAAAAGGATTCTACATCTAGAAAGAGTCATCCATTTTAGAAATCACTCAGAGATGATGAGTGAGTTGAAGATAAATAATAAATTCATATATAAAATACAGCCTCAAGGAAATGCTGAACATAAGAGATGTGCTCTTCAAATGACTTCTACCTGATCAACTTGCTAGAATAACTAATTCTCTCTTTCTTTGTTAAACACTACCATCCCATGATCAGCAAATGACTAAAATGTCCACACGCTCCTACTCCCAGTAGACAAACAGTATGTTTAACAGTTAGTTCTGTTTTCTCAAACCTGTTTGTGTTCCACTCACATAACTAAACATCACACAAACTCATAATTGAGTCCAAAAAAGGACTGTCGTTTCTAACATAGTAGAATTGAATGTTTCAAAAGATGTTTTAAGAGAATCTTTTAAAAAACAATTAAAAATAGTAGAAAAATAATCATAAAACCACAGAAAGATTTTTGCACTCAAATTGTTTCACGAATATCTGTGATTTCTCCAATTTAAAAAAACCAAACAGAAGAATTATAATTAGCACTCTAAAATTTAAGTTGCCAAGAAATTTATAGTTAAATCCAATACTAATTTAGACTTGGAAATACAACTTGAAAATATACAAATAATAAAGCAATGGTGTCTTCAACAGGACAAAAATACCATCATTTCAAGAAAAACTAATTATGAAAAAAAGCACACAAGACATACTACAAACCATAATACACAACAGCCCCCCCCCAAAAAAAAGCTAAACACAAGGTACTTTTCTTTTCCCCAAATGCACATTAAAGATTTCACTGATAATGTGTTTATTAGTCTTACTAAAATAATGAAAAAGATACTTATGTCATTTAGGTATTGAATATTTTTATATTATCACCAATATGTATGACAGTAAAATGCTTTCTGGAATTAAATAGAACAAATCCTGAAATGTAAATAATTTTTTAAAAGGAAGTTTTAGAGTTCTTTCTCTCCAGTGCTAAAATATATATATTTTTTTTTCATAGAAAAATTATTGTTGGCTGTGATCTTTTTCAGGAGGTGATACACTTCCTAAGAGTCATGATTCTGTAGAGTAAAATATTTTTTTCCCTCTCTTCTTTTCCGTTCTCTTAAAATGTAACTAAGGGAATCAGAACAAGAAATTGAAGGGCAAATAGAAATATCTTTGATTAAATCTATCATTCCAAACAGTCACAGGCAAAAAAATGTTAGTTTCAAATGAATCACTGATTGCAAATCTGAGTTGTTCCTTCTTTGCATTTTCCCCATAACATAAATGGTTCTTTCCAGCCATAAACTTCTGGGCTGCTGCTGCTGCTTCTTTTTTTTTTTTTCCCCCTTTCTAATTAGAGTAAGTGATCTCTTTCTCCTCACTTTTATTTCCTCTCAATTTATTTTCCTGCATTTGGTATGCATTTAAAAAATAAAAGAAATCCCAACCATCAGAGGAATTTCTCCTATTTCTTCCTGGAAAGCAGGCAAAAAGCCAGGGAGAGAAGAATGTCTCTATCATCCAAGTGCTGCTCTTCTCCCCTCAAATTCCAATGCAACCACTTTTTGTCCACTTGTTTTTTTGTTTCTTTCTTTCCAACATAAATACCAGTAACCTTAAACCGAGTACATATTTTGGGAGAGGTTGAAAGGCATTACGCATCAGTGAGAAAGGAAAAAGACGGAGTCACAACTCTGTATACAAAGAACCTGGAAAGTGCATGTCATGACTCAATCATTCACAGAAGTCACTAGTTAAGTACAGCTGTAGGACTGTGTTATATACGAAATACCAACCCACCAAGCTTAACGCCCACACTGATGATTAATTTTAGAGATGAAGCAACTCATCCAGGAATTAATCAGATTTTATCTCTGCTGTGTGTGTGTTTATGTGTGTACACATAGGTAAATAGGTAGACAGGCATCTCTTAACAGAATTCTACGTGAAAGAGACGGCAAATTCAGAAGAAACAGATTTTCCTATTCAGCTAAATAGAGTTACTTGCCAAATGGGGCACTCCTTCTCCTGCAATGACAAATAAGACTCTTTCACTTATCTCAGAATAATAATTTCATGAGTTCTAGTATAGATAATCTGCCAGTATAATTTGCTGCTTGATGATAGGGCGTAGCCAACTACCCACCCACACCGGGGACACGAAAATACAAAGGACTTGGAAATAAGCAGAGGGAACCAGTGATTGCGGGAGCACACAGTTTGTTTTAGAGTCATCAACCTGCTCAATTGAATCACATCCGTCTGAGCTTAGCAGCTTGAAATTCATTCCACAGCTCGCAGTGCTGACATGGATATGATAAGACAGAAGAACAGAAACCCCACTCTGAAGTAACCTAACTGAACTGCACATGTTCTGACCCTTTTTGTCTTCCCTGGAGCTTTTGCTACCTAGCAAATGCAACTCTAAACTGCACTTGTATCTCCAGATCTTTCCTGTTAGCTGAGCAGAAGCCTATTTCTCCCTGGGACTAGCAGCCAGAGAGGTGTTCTCTGAAGAAGACTTCTAAATGAGTGTGTGAGCTGAACTCTTACTGAACTGAATTAATTATTAACCATGCAGATGGAGCTGTCCAAATGATAAGAACAGCTCCTGACGTGTCATGATCCAAGCTTTCATTAAACCATTTCAGGCATACTAATGGTTTCCCACTGCTCATTACTTACAAGCACTTTTCTCATAGATATAATAACTCTAGTGCCTGTAGGCAAGACAGTCTATAGAAATACAGAAGCAAGAAGTTTTATCTTCCACAGCATGTTATTTTTCTTCATAGAACATTATAAAAAATATACACTTACTTAATATTACTAAGTTAAATGGCTTCAATTCAGAAAAGTTGGAAATGCAAAATTCCAAAAGGAACACAATCCCTTTCCAGGAATTGTAATGAGAACTTTTTGTTCTAAGAGTACTCCTTAAAAGGGTAGTATATAATGGAATTTATATTACTAAGATTTGTGTTTGTATTGACTTTTAAATATCCTTTCTCATCACAAGGATGTATGTGTTATAAATATATTAACATTCAACAAACATGCTGAACAATCATATATCTCAATTTAGGTTATGCATGATGTTTTACACCTCTATACCGCTCTTTGCCTGTCTGCGTCGGGAGAATTAGAGGACAAAGTAGTTGCAGGACAATTACTCCTAGGATCTATATTGTCAAAACAGCTACTTGCTGTGTTTGGTTTTTGTTGATTTTTTTTTCCCCCTTAAAGTTGGGAACACTATTCCTCAAAGCCCTTCAATTTCAACCTAAATGATTGGGTACAGGATAACAATGATGACAAAACTAATAAATAACAGTAGGGTTCACACTGTAAATGGGCAATATAATGTCCTTCACTTCTTTTCTTACTAGAAGCTGAGTGTATGTGAACATTAATGTCTTTTGTCCAAGTGAAAGAAATTTTAATACTCTAAAGTCAGTATTTATTTTTAGATGGAAATAAACAAAACTAGTACAACAGAAGTTAACACATACTTTTATAGATTAGATTATCTCTGAAATGGTCTTTATAATTTTCAAAGTTATCAATATGATTAGCTAAGGGTTCAGGGGGAAAAAAAGAGAAGCATGTGTCTTTAAGGATCATGCCACTTCAATTCAGCTGTTTACCATTTAATTTGAGAGTGGTTTAGGCTATGTTAACTTAAATAAACCGAGAACTAAAACTAGAGTAATCATTTGGATTGAGTAATTCTGATGAGACATAAGCTTTCCTAGGAAGACTTGAGAATGATTTATTGGCTCGATTCATACAGGCATTCACCTGAAATTTTCATTTTGCTTTGTGTAAGTGTATAATTCATTTTAAGGACAAAAGTACATACATTTGAAGTGGTTTTAGGTTTCCTTGAACTAGTACATTTTTTCCCCTCAATTTTATGAAACACTAGTTAAATACAGAAATATCCTAGTAAGTTCATGTGTATCACTTCTTTAAAAAAGTCCTTAAAATAGGTATTTAAAAGATATAGGCAATATTTAAACTTGCTTATGTTTCCCTTTCAATCTTATAATGGTCAGTAGCATCTATCTGTAACAGCATAATGCTAAAACTCAGTGAAAAGTTTTAAATACCGAAAACCAAATATTTTCGCTATATCCTTTTATTTCAACTATATTTCAAGTATTTGACTAATGGTAATGTAAGCAGTTAAAAAACACCTTATGTCACTATATTTAATGGGTAAACAATTTATTTTTAAAAAATTTCTTGAAGACCAATATTTTTATTTGGCATTTGAAAAGTAACTTTATTTCTTATGAGTTTAAAATTGATTTAAGACTCAGTTATTAATCTAAGCTTAAAAAATTTTTTTGTGCTCTAAAAAGCTTAGGGTGTGGACATTTATTTAAAAGTACTAAATTAATGGGGCGCCTGGGTGGCTCAGTGGGTTAAAAGCACTAAATTATTATGTGGAAATTAATATAATAAGTATTAAGCTAATGTTCTTTCAATTCCACAAAACATTCGTTTAATTTATAAATGCCACATAACTTGATACAGGGCTAATAGTACAGATTTTGGAGACAAAACTCCTGAACTACAACTCTTAGCAAAAAACTCCACTACCCAAAACCAAAATACACTATACATTTCAGTTATTCCTTTCTAATTATTAAACTAGGCCCAAATCATGCAATCTAAACATAGTTTACATATATTTTTAGATTATGACATGCATTGTAGCAAACTAAATTAGAAAAGAAAAAGTATTTTTTAGAGGAAAAAGGATTTTTGAAATAGTACCAATCAGCAAGTACATAAACTCTCAATAACGGTGTAACATTTAAGGTATACACGCAGTTTTATCCTGTAGGTTAGACATGTTTATAAACCCTTGAATGCATAGATAAATTAAAAATAAAACCAGTTATCTTTCAGTGGCACTACAAAAGCAGCAAGCTAAAAATGAAGGGAAAACAGAGTTTGCTTACCAGAATAATGAAGGTAACTGGTCCAATGAAACTCCATATAAAATAGTTATCAACATGAAGCCAGCAACTATTATGAAAAGAAGAGTATTAAGTAGCTTCAATGGATCCTCAACATTACCAAAAATATAGAATTCTTAAAAATCTAACAAAACTATCTTTATATCTGCCTTTGAAAATTCATTTGTCATGGGTAAGAACAATTTTAATAATTCTGAGTTGGCTTTGATGTAAAGAGTAGTAATTTATTTACTTCAGCTTACTGTTTTTCATTTCAGGTTTTAAATTTGGTAAAGGCATTCATTATTCTGCTCGTATGGGGTAAACAATAAACCCCACCACACCCCAATCCCTAATTCTTAAGACCTCTGACTATATTAAGGAAAACTTAAATGGTCTCATCATTTTGAAAGTTCTTATCTTCAAAATTCGCCTTTCAGATCTATATCTGAGCGACAGTGTTTAACCCTATGAAACAAAACAGACAAAATATTCAGCTGTTATGCCTGTTTCAAAACAGCACAGCATAAATATAATACCTCAACTGGGAATGGATGAATACGAGATAAAAAAATCAAAGCACAGCACTCACAGAGTATTAGAGTAAATGATGCATCAACTTATTAAGACAGATTTTACTTAGTGGTTCATTTTTCATATAACATTGAATCCCCACTGAATTTTTTTTATTTGTCTTTCATCATCTGTTTAGTCAAAAAGCTTTCTTTAGTCCAAGGAATCTTTATATAACTAATTTTATCAAAGGCAAATATAAGCAGAATTGGAAAGCAAATTCATGCTCCTAGCAAATAAAAGCCTGACAAATATGGCTATGTCTACCTTCTGTCATTTTCCATAAATATCTATATTTTTTATAAATGAAAGACAGTGACTTATTTTAATCCTTTTAAACTGCCTGACAAAATATTATCAAAGTAGAACATATGGGATGGAATGTGCTACTGTCACAATTCAGAATGAGAGTTAGCTAGAGGGTCGGCTGCACAAAGAGAGCTAATGAAGCATTAGGTTAAAACTGAGTAGTTAAACCTGTCAGATGCTTTAAGTTCAGAAGAATTTTTACTTAATATCTTTCTAAGGCAAAAAAGTTATTTACTTTTTCAATTTGTTTCAGGTCAATCTTTTGTGTTAAAAAGAAAGTCCATAATTTAGAATCTGCCTTGTCAGAGTACAAATCCTCTGAACCTAGAAAATTACAAAAGACTTGATTGTAATTTGTGCACGGCATGCCCATTCTCTTACCAATAAAGCTTTCAGATGCTATTTTAGTCTGTCAGGGACCCTCACTGACAGCTAACAGGCTTTAAAAAATTATTCACTTGAAAAACACTCAGGTCGCTTGCAATTACTCACGCTTTTTCTGTTCCATAGCTCTTATAGTCAATAGCAGCTGAAACCCCAACCACGGTGGCAGGAAACAAGTAACCAGCGACATAATAATATTTCTTCCTTGAATATTCACTTTCAAACACTTCAACCAACATCAGGTAGAGCTGTACACCTTCTAGACACATCCAAGCAAAAGCGGCCAAAAAGAAAAAGTGTAAAAGTCCTGCAAATATTGGACAAGCAATCTAGAAAGGAAAAGAACAAAAAACCCAAGACAGAACACATGAATACAAGCAGGGCACCCCAAAATGATGCAATATTCACTGACAGTGCTCATGATTGTCTTTAAAATACAACATTATTTAAACTGTTTCTTAAAAAAAATTTTTTTTTAACAAATGGAAATGAGTTCTAAACACTACAAATTTAAAGAGTTTAATGCTTAATAGAGTATAATGGCAGGTGTGCTAGAAATTTCATCACTGCGAGACCCAACTATTTTTAGTAAAATTAAGTGTAAATAAGAAAATATATGTTAATTTCCTTTCTAAAATTATCCACTATTAAATCTGAATATTCTACTTACAGATTATTTGCTCCATATGTCTTTAGAACAATTGTTTCCAAATATATTATTTTTATTTTTTCAGTAACAGAATTTAAAAATTCACTTTAGTGATGAATACCCTGGATCTAATTCCTAACATTCTTTTCCCGTCATATGCGGAGCATTCTTAAAATTCATGCCGGTGCAGATGAATACAGGGTAAAGCAGTAACTACTGATTAAGTACTATTTCTGACACGGAGACCTCCTGATGATGAACAAATTGCTCAGAAGATGAAGAAATGATCACTGACCAGAATGACTATGTAAGCAAAATGAAAACTGTAAAAATAGGATCTTTTCATTTCAGTGTCCCTGGTACTCTTCTATTCAAATTACGTGTCTTAATAACAACTCAGAAAAATGCAAAAGCACCTTGATGCAAGAAATGAGTTCGCTCATAATAATAATACCTAACGATTACGCTTTTATTACAAATTATCTGCCAAGATCGCCATTGTCAACTTTATTGTTACAAGATCAAATATCTATATAGGCATCGTGTGTGGATTCACACCTGTTATAGTAATTGTCAGAGATCCGAGGGTGATAAGCCGAAGGGGTGCTTACCATGTATTTTGTCTTGTCAATGCCTATTAGGAAAATAAATTCCGCAATGAAAAGGTTGATACAAAGGTTCTTGTGAATAGTATTGCGGTCACTCTGCAGACCACGGAAAAAGCAGAAGGTGAAGATGCATATAGCCAGGCAAACAAGGGAAATGACAATTCCCACCCAGGTGATGACTGTAAGGAGTAATTCGTGAACTCCATCTTTGTACTGAAAACAAAAATAGTATGAGGAACATTAGTATTGCTGCATTGCTTCAACTAAAAGTTTAAGATAGCTTTCACCATGGTAGCTCATCTTTTAATACCAAACTCTATGAATATTCTTAGGTGTTCAAACAGGGCTCAAAGCTAAGATGAAAACTTGATCACGTAACAGATCAATCTTATCTTATATCCAAAGAATGACCTAAGAAAGTGGAAGATTTTACCTAGAAAATAATGCAAGAATCCAATCATTTCAACATAACGGCTGAAATAATTACCTACGTAAACCCAGATATTTATATAATAGGATAAAGGATATTCAGTTATGATTAAAAATAATTGGTATCTTAATGACTTTCCCGGCTAACAAAAAAATTTTAAGTTTTCATTTCCTCCTTGAGTTTTGATATTTATTTATATACTGAGTCAAATACACAACAGACCTGCGAGTTTTCGTGCTCTATTTCTTAAAATGTTTTTATCTTCTGGCTATCATTCCCTTCATCACAGAAAGGAATATGAAGAAACATCCCAGAAGCTATCCTGACCTTTAAAATCTGCAGTTCTGCACAGTGTGCAAAGTTGTGAGAAAAACTTAAAACAAAAGCTGTCAAACAAGATTCAAACATTCCAGATGAAGAGAGTGTGTTAAACTTTAGAGCCCTCAGTCTCTGTTGTAGGACCCATCGCTATTCATTTTTTAAATCCCCGACTGCCTCTGCTAAACACCTGCCCAAAGGAGAAAAATCTAGAATGAGTCTGCAAAGCACATGATTTTGAGAAGTAACGATAAATAGAATGCCAAGACATTCAAAAAATATACGGACAGTGTAATGACATTTAGAAATCCACACTACTTTGTTTGCTTTTTAGTTACGATAAGCACCCAAAGCAGGGACTATTATAAAGCTGTTTTGAATCTCCTGAGGTTTTTCTCTGCTACTAATTAGAAGTGCAAATACTTACTGCAATTTCCCTGTGGGCCATGAGAATTGCAAAATTGGTTAGGTGGCTGCATGCACACGTTGTACGGGTTTTATTAGTGTCAACCAGCTTGCAGCCCTGGGTAGACCAATATCCCATCATAGTTCTTTCTGAGTAGTTCCAGAAGGAGCAGTTTGCATTGAAATAATTGTCAGGCTGGGAAATAAAATGACAAGATAAAATTAGGATTTTACACTCTAAGATGGCAATAGCAATTGTTTAATATGTGTAAAAGGTAATTTAGATTAAACTTTGCATGTTTCGGACTATAAAGTTTTTCATCAGCAAAATTGTAGACTATGTTATACAAGGCAGATATCTAACTTAAAAGGGGTTTTATAGTCCAAAACATTCTAAAGTGTACTCCAAATTACCAAAGACCCATTTTACACAATTACAATTTCCTTCTTATGATTTTACATACTGATGGTACATTGGAATCATTTTTTTTTCTTTTCTTTTCTGACAAAATGAGACCCATGAATTTGTCCTGAGAAAATTCTGTAAGGATCAAGTGTTTTAAAATCGATTTGGGGCCCATTTTTTTCTAAGTGACATGTTAGCAACATCAGGGTTTTTAAGAGAGTGAACCAACTGCAGCAGACGTAAGAGAATGGCCGCACAATTTTTTTTTTTCTTTGCCGATTCTGGAGATACACTTGGCTGTCTGTGGGCACATATTCATTCTGCTTATAACGGAAGCCAAAATTCTGCAATCTTCCAACACAGTGCAATAATTTAACTACCAACTTCATTCTAAGGCACGGCAGAGAAATCACATGTCTTCAAGCCTAGATTTTTAAAAACCCAATGCTTGATAACAATTGTGTCACATAGGATCAGTAAAGTCAAAAAGAACAAAAACAAAAACAAAAGGTCTGCCACACTAAAAAGGCAGAGTCCTAAGAGTTAACATTCGGTTATCCTGCTGTTAAGGTAAGAGTTAATTTTCATTCTAAAACAAATTACAGTCATTTACATTTTCCTGTTGATTACTGAATTAGCTTTCATTAAGAATACACTTAAGTTCTAATAATCACTGAACCAGGCTCATTTAATTTTATGTTCACAGACTTAAATAAACTTATGTCTGACCTAATCCAACATTTGAAATTCAAATGGAAAGGTCTTTCCTCTCCTCTCTGCCACCTTCCCATTCCCTCTCTCCCCATCTCCAGCATGTAAAGTTTTGCGTTTTCTTTCCTCACTGGTTTTATAACCTTCCACTACTTCATCAGCACATATAACTTACATCAATGTGTGGCAGGGTAAAAAGCACAGGATCTGTCAAGTAGACTCGGCTGGATTCTTTATTGATTGAAACGGAAATGACGTGGGAATTCACTGCAATCGTGCTATTCCGACCAATAAAGTCAGCACCCAGTTTTATGGTTGCGTTTTCTGTACTAAGAAACTGTCCCAAACTCCGGTAAATGATGAACACCAACTTTGCAAGCCCTAGGAAGGTAAAAGTAGTCATATGCCTTTCCAGGAAATATGCTTATGGATAAAATAAAATACATTCAAGTAAGAATAAAAGGGAAAAAAGTCCTTATGGACTATACAGATTAAGTTTCTTGGGAAAGAGTAAAGCATTATTTTAAATCTGCTTTTAAATGGTAAGCAGCATTGTTACATTAGGAGTCAAATAGTTGGCATTTTAGGATTAATAGATTTAAATGAACAAAAAACCTGTCAATTTTTAAAAGACTCTGCTCCATCTTACCATTCCTGCTGTTCTGTTTGACAGTATTTGCAGAGAGCTGGATTGAGCTGCCTGCGCCTTTGATGCCCAGAGGAAATTTAAAGTCTTGGACCTGTCCTTCGGTACTGAGTACTGCAACTTCCAGAACTGGATGAGGAGAAGGAGAAAAGGGCATTCTTTAAACTACAAAGAGGCAAATGATAATTGCATGAAAACCACTGCTTCTTTTTTTCTACTTATAAAACTTTACTGTTATATTTCAATAAAATCATGAACTAAATGACTCGAGGAGGTCTAAAACCTTGACCACTCTAAAAATTTTTATATAATAATTTTAACATTTTTTCATAGTTTTGCATCTTTTGTCATCAACTAATTCCAGACATTTACCCTAGGAATACTAATGGTGTATGAGCTGAAAGTGCACACCTTTCAAAATTTCATTTATATTGAAAATAAACCTATTTCAACATGAGTTTTTTGGCTCTGTACATTAAATAACTTTTCAATGAACATTCCTTGACAATAGCAAAATGAAATATGAAGCATAAATCTGAGTGCCTTTATTACATGTATACATTTATTTCCTTGCATAGGATACATTTTAATAGATAATGAGATTGCATAGCTCAATTTTGCAATACTTGATTTTCTCTAATTTCTAAACATGAGGAGACCAGCACAGCACAACATTTTATGAGAAAATGTCTGGCATTATGTTAAAACCTCTCATTAATTCTCACTAGTTACTATAAATGTTTACATATTTAAGCTGGGCAAAACAGGCCCTGTGTGCCAAATCTGGCCTGTCATCTTTTCTTATAAATAAAGTTTTACTAAAATACATCCATGTATGCTCATTTACACATTGTTTATGGCTGCTTGGGTGCTACAATGTCAGGTAAGCGTTTGCAACTCAGACCATGTGGTGTAGTTGCCTAGGATATATATTATTTGGGCCTTTATAGTAAAAGTTTACTCAACCACTGTACTTTATTCCAAAGTTCAAAAATTCATGGAAAGGCAAACAAGTTGACCTAACACTAAGAACATTAACCTAATCAACAAGACCAATGTTGTTAAACTTTTTTTTCCATACACACACACACACACATAATTTAAGTGTCATCAACATAAACATGTCTACAATAATTCCAATAAAGATTATAATACTTTACATCAATATTCATCGTATTCACATAATTGTTAAAAAGAATGGAAAAGTACTATTGTTTCTGCTAAAGTCAACTATTTTATATTAGTAATAAGATTATGTCATTTTATTGATGAAATGAGAGGAATTATATACAAAATTCATTTGTTTCATATATTAGAATTTTTAAAAGTAACACATACTTTTTAAATAATTCAATACATACAGTTCATACATTTTTCTCTGAACTTCACTCTACTGGTATATATTTTTGTATAGCTATTTCCATACATAGACAAAGATGAGTATATGTGTTTGTACACACACACACACACACACATACACACACAGATATGATTAATTCATCCACCCCCTTCCTTTTACAGATATGAACTTATACTATTATAGTAACTTTTGGATAATAATTTATTCTTCTAAATCTTTCAAAAATTTGTTGTGTAAACTACACATAGATTTAGTTTTATCTATGAAATCAGAACACTGTAAGATTTTCACGTGTCAAGCACCTAAAATACAAATTTATAATGAGAGTTATACAAATCGTAGAATTCTATAAGCTGCAGAAGCTGGTTAAAATATTTATTTTATTGGTTTACACTTAGAAATATTAAGCAGGTGGGTAGGTAGGTGATCTTCACTCATCGTATCAGATCCCATGTGTGTGGGAAGAAGGAAAAGTAGGGGAAGAAAAGAGAAAAATATACATCTAATGTATGCCTCACTCTTTTTACACTGAAAGAGACTCTCAGTTATTAACTTTTCTCTTTTTTTCCAATTCCTAACTTTTCTTAAAGCAAGACAGAAGACAGGGTAAAAGACTGAAATCTTTTGAGTTTTCATGAAAAGTTCCAAATATAGACATACACGTACAAAGAGTTAATTTCTTTTTAAAGATTTTATTTATTAATTTGAGAACAAGAGGGAGAGGGAGAAGCAGACTCTGCACTGAGCAGGGAGCTGATGTGGGGGCTCCATCCCAGGATCCTGAGATCATGACCTGAGTCAAAGACAGATGCTGAACTGACTGAACCACCCAGGCATCCCCAAAGAGGTAATTGCGTTCAACAAATATTTCTGATCAAACTTTAATTTCATTCAATGTATATTTACATAAGCTTAAAAATCAAATCCATAGCAAAAAAAAGTAAGAATCTGAATTTTAAAAGGATCATTAATACAGATCTTTGTAGAGAATCAATAATCAACTTCATATTAATCAATAAATTTATATCAATAAATAAGTAAATTTAAAAACAGACAAAAGGGGGGCGCCTGGGTGGCTCAGTTGGTTAAGCCGCTGCCTTCGGCTCAGGTCATGATCCCGGGGTCCTGGGATCGAATCCCGCATCGGGCTCCTTGCTCGGCAGGGAGCCTGCTTCTCCCTCTGCCTCTGCCTGCCTCTCTGCCTGATTGTGTGTACTCTCTCTCTCTCTCTCTGGCAAATAAATAAAATCTTAAAAAAAAAAAAAAAAAACAGACAAAAGGGAAAACTTCCAAGAAACAAAAAACTGAAAAAAATAAATGAAAAACCCTAACAGTTTATCACCATTACAGAAAATAAAATAATAGCTAAATATATACTCAATCTTTAAAAACTGTTCCAGAATACAGAAAGAATGCTTTTCAACTCATTTCATAAGACTTGTATAATCCTGATGCATAAGACAGCATAAGGAAAAAATTACAGAATATTCTCTTATAAAAGGTTGTAAAAATATTTAACAAATTATATGGGCACTAAGTATAATATCTTGAACAAACTGAGGTTAAGTCTAAAGGGCATTAAAAAATATATTAATGCAATTCACCAAATTAAGAAATTAAGCACACAAAAAAATTATTAACCAAAAGAATTCAACAAACTTCAAAACCAATTCAATTAAAAAACAATTTACAAAATAATAAAAGAAAAGAAAAAATCTTTGCCTGGGGAAAGGTTTCGTTATCAGATGAAGATTAATTAAATCTACAGGCAAACAATGGTGAAAAACTCAAGAAGCATTCTTTCTAAAGTCAGGAAGTCTACAGCCATACCACCCTGAACGCGCCCGATCTCGTCTAAAGTCAGGAAGACTCCTATTAGGCGTTTTATTTATTAGCATTGTACTAAAAGACCTAACTAATGCAGTAATTCAAGAAAAAAGTTGTATGACACCTGGGTGGCATTAGGTGCCTTCGGCTCAGGTGATGATCTCTGGGCCCTGGAACAGAGCCCCTATTGGGCTCCCTGCTCAGTAGGGAACCTGCTTCTCCCTCTGCCTCTACTCCTACCCTTGAGGGCTCATGCTCTTTTGTTAATCCTCGCTCATAAATAAATAAATAAATAAATAAATAAATAATTTTTCTTTTAAAAGAAAAAAAAGGTGTAAAGACTGAAGAAAAAAGCAAACTTTTTATTTACAGAAGATATAATTAACTACATAGTAATTTTGAGAGAGCCTCCATATGATTGGAAGTAAAAGAATTTAGCAAGGGTGCAATCAGCAAAATCAACTGTGATCCTATACACTGAGCAACAGACAATTAGAATATGTAACCTTAAAAAAGATACTTTACAATAAAAACAAATAGTGCAAGTTATCTAAGAATAAACCTGATTTTTATAAGTGCAAGACGTTAATGGGAAAAATACAGAACATCATTAGAAGACCTAACAACAAATGGAGAATTATACGAGATCTTATTTGGGAGACTTCAACAAGTAAATAAATCTGTGAAACTTCTTTCAAAATCAATCTACAAACTCAGCTTAATTCTTTTTTTAACATAATATTTTTAATTTCTTCAAATTTTTATTTAAATTCCAGTTAGTTAACATACAGCATGATACTGGTTTCAAGAGTAGAATTTAGTGATTTATCACTTACATAAAACACCCAGGGCTAATCACAAGTGTCCTTTTTAATGACCATCATCCATATTTAACTCACCCCCCCCACTCACCTCCCCTCCAGCAACCCTCAGTGTGTTCCCTATAGTTAAGAGTCTCTTACAGTTTGTTTCCTTCTCTTCAGCGTAATTCTAATAAAAATTCCAACAAGACTTTTTGTAAGAAAAAAAAAAGATTTTTTGAGATTGTGGAACTTGATGACTGACTTTATGGAGAAGACATGCCAAAAGCAGCTAAGTCAATTCCTCCAGGAGCAGAAATGAAAGAACTCACCAGATAGCAATATTATTAAGACAAAAACAAAAGGAGCAATGCATAACACACTTCTAACATGTATAGAAAACAACAGAGATAGCCTTACAAACCACTAGGAAAAGGAAAGAATTATGAAATAAAAGTACTGAAACAACATATTATCCCCAAAAAAACCCAGAAAACAAAAACCAAATTAGTTTCTTCCTTCATACCACAAACAAAACTCCTTTCCAGATATATTAAAACATAATTATAAAAAGGCAAAATTTTATCATTTCTGAAAGTCTTATATAAGATCATTTAAAAAGTTACAGGTATAACTATAGAGAAAATTTTCTTGAGGACACCAAAAAGGAAACTTTCTTAATAACACCCCAAAAGCACCTACCCTAAGAGAACAGACTGATAAATTTGACTTCATTATTCTGTAAAACAAAAGATACCATAAACAAAGTAAAAAAGAGAAAGCATGCACAGAATAAATATTTTCAAACTATACGGCCTGCAAAGAATTAGTGTCCAGAACGCATGAACTACAAAGAAACAGATGCATACGTCAAAGTCGTGGAGAACAAATTCACAGGAGAGAAATCTAAAATAACCAATAAAGGCATTAAGTAATCTGAGAACTGCAAATTAAAATAATAATGTGATCAATTCTAACTCATTAGAACGATAACATTTATGTCAATAACAAAGTGTTATTTAGCAAACAGATTGATGGGGAGAGAACAATGGCGTTAACAGGTGAGGATGTAAATTGGTAAACAATATTAGAGAGCAACTTGGCAGTATTTAATAAAGTTGGAGATGGGCATGCTCCATCATTCAAAAATTCTATTTCTAGGTGTGTATATCCATATATGTCTAGAAAGGCACATACACATGAGAACAAAGACATACAAAAACCTTCCCTGTTTTCCTTATTATTAGCAAAAAAGCATAAGCCACTAAAAAACCTATCATTGGCATAGTTAAATAATTGTGATGTATGTTAGATCAAACGAAAGAATTAACTAGAGATGAACATATTAACATGCATAAGAATAAAAATATAATGACAAGGGACAATTACACAACCACATCTATAGTGTGAAATCATTAATGTTAAAAGTGTAAAAAACGACTGTTAAATGTATATAGTTGTAGACCAAGTTGGGGGGGGGAGCTTATTAAGGAAAGGTTATACCCTTCTTGGTCTGATCAAGAAAGAGGGGACCCAGAGGACTTACACATTATCGATAACTACTTATTTTCCCCAAAATGTGAAGCGAATATGGTACAATAACTAAGATGTGGTTCAGTTGGGTGACTGGAATACAAATTATTTATGATATTTTCTGTATCTATATATTCTGTATGCTTAAAATAATATATGCCTTGTACCACAGATTTCCTGACACTGAATATACTTCATTCATAGGAAAGCCTCCCTCACAACCAATGCTATAGATAGTATTTTTAATATATTTTTCTATCCTTGTACTTTTCAGATTCATTTCTGAGTAATGGCTCCAATGAAAGAAGAGGGGAAGAAAAGAGAACATACAGGAAAATCTATGATGTGTGCCAGAAGACCTGCAGCATTCTAGGCTCCATCAGCCTGAATCCAAGGTACAAACAATATGGAGCTGACTAAAGATGACAGTCGCACAGCCAGAACCAAACCTCAGTGGTGATGCGGCGTGAAGGAGTATAAGCCTTCACTCTTGCAAGATGCTGTGACTTTGGGGGTTTTGTTACCACAATATAACTAAGCCTAAATTGACAATCATGTTGGCTGCTAAGCCCACTGGGAAAATAAATGATACGGAATTTTATAATAAATGGATTAGGCTGGTAACACCTAAATCACCTAATCAATCATAAGATCACAAAGAAAGACAACCTAACATGTGCCTCTTTTGCAGGATGCAACAGAAATTTCTTTGAGAAAATATACAAAGAAACAAACTTAAACCTGACCTGATCAAGCCTCTAGATCCAATTACAGTACATATCAATCATGTAAAATGGTATCACGGGGATGAAAACAGCCAAATACAGAATGTGGGAAATTCCATAGTACAAATCATCTGCTCAATTTCTTCAAAAAAAAAGGAAAAAAGTTTATAAAAAAGATGTAGAGAGAAATGACTCAAGCAATGTATCAAATGTACTACATGGACTTGTCTGTATCCTGGTCAAAACAAATTAAGTATTAACAAATTTACAAAAATGAAGTAAATTTAGGCATATTTTTGTTATCTTTTGAACATACTATTTTTGTTAATCTTCAAATGTGTGAAAATGACATTTTTGTTTTTTTAAGCATGATGCATATTAAGGTATTTACAGTAATAATATGATACTAAAATTTGCTTTAAAATACAATAGTGAGAGGAATAAGTTAAATAGGATTAACCAGACGCTGTAGAAGGTGCATAACTTTTTAGCAACATAGAAACTTCTGCTCCTCTTAAGACGTCATTAAGAAAATAAAAAGAAAAGTCACATGCTGAGGGAAAATATTCACAGTTCATACAGTCATCAAGACTTACTATATAAGGGATATATTATGAATCTTCATAACTCATTATTAAGAAGAAAAACAGCCCAAATAGAAATGGGGAAACTTTATGGACACTTTACATAAAAATACATGAATGACCAACCCATAAGCACATAAGAGTTCAATAGTTATCAGCCCTAAGCACCACAGCGAGTCTATAAATGCAAAATAGAACTAAGATGAGATGACACTATAAGCCACTTGAATGGCTAAAATTAAAAGGACTGACAATCCTAAATGTTAGTGAGAAAGTCTCATGGCAGTCAGGAGTATGAAATGGTACAACAACTTGGGAAAACTGGAGCTTTACAAGTAACAGTGAAAAAGGGGAAATGATGTAAACCCCTAGTAAGAGAATGAAAACACAAAGAGTGGTGTTTCCTTATAATGGAATACTACTCAGCAACAAAAAGGACTGAACTACACTACCAAAACAGACAAATCTCAAAAACACTACTTTGTTTAAAAATGCACGATCAAAAAGAGTACATATTGTATGATGCCATTCAACTAACGGTCCAGAGAAGGCAAAAATAAATTACGGTGACAGAAAACAGATCAGTGGTCACCTGGGGCTGGGGCTTGAGCAGATCTACTGCTAGAGAATAAAGCGCCCTTCTGAGGTGACAGAATGTTGACCATGCTGTCGGTCACATAGTCTGCATTTGTCGGAACTCATCAACTATACACGTATGACAACTGATTGTATTATATATAGATTTTTATCTCCAAGTTGACTTAAAAAAGCTATAATCAGATATATTTATGACATATAATTATACCATTTTTATGAGGTCATGTATTATAAGGATAAATCACACAATGAAGTTAAACTAAGGATTCAAGCAGACATCACTAAAGAGTAAATCAAATTGTCCTAATAACCTAAGATAGTGTAGCCATGCCCTAAATTTAGATAAGAACTTCAGGAAAGTGAGGATATAAAGGAATAATAAGCTATTTTAGTCCTCATGTCTAAAAAAAGAATAATTCCTAGGAAAAATGTAAATGCTTTCCTCAAACTAAATCATGGACTATATTTGCCACAAAATTATATTTTAGCAACAAACAAAAAAGACCTAACTATGCAAGAGAATGTAAAATGACTTTCATACTGATAATTCTTGGATAATCTACATGCATATGGTAAATTCAGGCGATTATTTTTGAGAAGTCAGTAACATGTGTACTACATACTATTAAGAGTCTTTACCCACAATGTTCTTTTTAAATTTTTGTAAAGATATTTTAGTTTTTTAAGCAATCTCTACACCCAATGTGGGGCTTAAACTCACAATCCCAAGATCAAGAGTCACATGCTCTACTGACTGACCTAGCCAGGCACCCAATATTTTTTAATTAAAATTTTTTTTTAAAAAACAGAGTGAAGATCAATCCCTTAGAATTCTGAAAAACAGGCATTAGAAAAAATATATTCCTGGACATTAACATTTTCAGACTCTGTCTCAAGCTGGTGTAGAAATATCTCAGAGATTGAAGAACAGCACATCCTGTATACGTGAAGCTCGTGGGAGCATAGCACGTCACGCTGGCCCATCCAATATTCTTGCACTCTTTGAGAGGGTGTAGGAGGGAAATAACAGGTGTTGTTTAAAAAGATAACGATTGGAAGATTTTGGAAACAAATGTCACTTCAAGCAATATTTTCTATGATTCACTCTCTAAGATGATCAAGTTTACACTCTTTTATCCATACAGGTACGTTGCTGGGAAAATTTGAGAATTGTTCAATGCACATCCTAGGGATTTTATGAGACCAACTAATAAATTAGCCAAATATAATGAAAGCTTTAGACAGAAAAGAGGGAGCTTTCTTCATTTTGTGTTACTACTAAAGCTATGGTAGAGTGTCACTTTCCCTATGACTGGTATCCCAGATCATGGCCAGCCAAATTATGTATCTGGACTTCATTTAATTTGAAGTTACTGAGTTATTTATCATCCCTAAAGCTCATAGTACATAAAAACATGATTTTCATAATGTTTTTTTCTTTCTAAAAATTCAGCTACTTAAAATAAACTTGAGGTTTTAAATTTAAATTCAGTTATTGTAATTTGATTCTATACACTTTTATTTTCTGCATTTTAGAATACAAATTCTCATGACTTAAGCAGGCACAATTAGGCAATGAGATAGGGCGTCCCACAGAGCAATACCTCATTCAGTACCTATTGTGCCAATGCACTCTTTTGCTGCAAAAGTTGTCTGTGTTCTCTTCTGGCTTTTTATTTTTTTTTCCTTTTTTTTTTTTCACTTGAATGCTTGGGAAACTTTACTAAAAGATATAACTTTCACTTGAGTTCAACCTCTCTGAATAACCAACAATTCTAAATCAGTCAAGCCTAAATGAATATAATTTTACTGTATTTACTGTAATTTCTCAAATATCATCAAAAGTGAATTCCCACCTCTCATGGACAGCATTTAAATGCCAAATTTAAATGCTTCGAAACTATCTGCAGCTATTTTGCAATCTATGAAGCATGGATAGTCTGCATTATGGGAGATGTAGTTTGCAGACCACATTTTCACCTGAAGGCGGTTGTGTTTAGTATAAACATTTGGCTCAAATTTTGTGTGCCTAAAATATTTGATTTGGAGAACACATTCCAGAAAGTAATTTAAATTCATTAGGAACATATTACATAAAATGGAAAAGCATTTGCCACAGTTCCATAGCAAGTACTTTAATTACTTACGTAATCCATATTCTGGCATTTAAGTACTCTAAGCTTCTTTCCTTTAATGATTTTTTCAGTTGGGGGTGGGGTGGGGAGAAACCCTACATAAAACCAACTTTTAAAAGATATAGACAGATTTCGGCTTTTGCATTAATTTTATGAAGTGTGATCAATAATAATTTGATGAAAGAGAAGTCTGGCCCTGGGAAAGAACAGATTCAGAAAGGAAGCATCATTCTCTTAAACATTTATCTTCTAAATCAAAATTAATCCTGACAATGTATTCACTTACCGATATTTTCTGTAGGCATCGAGACCCTCGTTGGTTCTACAAGATTGTCAGCCAGGACAAAAGCTCCTTCTTCCAATGTGTCAAGTAACATTGTTGCTGTATGAGCTTGCTCAGAAGAATTCATGTGTTTCCAGGATTCCAAAGCTTCAGGTCTCAGAAGATTGTCCACTGTGTCCACAATTGCCTATATCCATTAGAAAACCACCATTAGTTCTGACTGCTTCTAGTACCAAGGTGATTTTCAATCACTGACTAGTGATTGTCAATTGTAGTATTTATCTGTCATGATGATTTACTCTTACTTCAAGATGGAAGAACACCTGAACAACATACACCTGGCTGGTTAGGAACATATCTTACCATCTCAAAATAAAACTAACTGAAGATTAGTAGATTGCTATGTGATTATAAAGGGTAAATGTGAAAAGATGGCTTGTGGATACTTACCTAACAATCTCTCCATTGTCAAAGAGAAGCCCAACCAATGTCAGCTCTTAACCTGAGGTATTACTGTACATGCACGGTCACTCCTATTTATAACCTCAAGGTTTAAATGTTCTAGATAGAAAACACTGATGTCTCTGGAATAGCCTTTTATTTATGCTTGAAAGTTACATCATACTGTTTTTTGGAACCTGAACTAAAGTAATAGCCAAAATCGTGCCTTAGAACATTGTCTACTTATTACACCACTGGGGAAAAAACCAAGATGATTTCAAAGTTCATAGATTATCTGTGAATATTTCACTTTTCCAATTCTCCATCCAGCTAGAAAACACTTGAGAGTACACCTTAGATGATAAACAATGATCTGTTTTTATAGAAGAATCAAGAGATCAAAAAACGTTTAAAGTCTATTTGAGTAATTTAATGAAAACTAATAGTTTAATGAAAAATTTTAATGAAATATTAAGAAAAATAGAATAAGGTCTTCATAAACATCCAGGTTGTACATGTTCGTATTTGTAGGTTTTTGTTTACTACCATGCAAAATAACAAATAAAAAATAAAACCCAGTCAGCTAAGCAACTGAAGGCAGGCCTTTGTACTGATACTTACTATAGCTATATACTGACCATGGCCTGAATACCTGAAGTCACTAAGTTTACTCACTCTACCCCATTTACCTAGTCACAACATGTCACTAAGACCATACATAAATTGTTTTACTCTACTGGTAATCACTGAGGGAAAAGAACATACACTGTGCAAAGAACAACAACAAAAATTGCTAGTTTGAGGTACGATATTGAAATAAGCATGGGGAAAAGTTGTGGGAAGCTACTGTCAGAGTAAGAGTAATTAGCTTAATCCATCTTAATATCCTCGCTCTGTCTGCCTTGTGAGCCCCCACAACCTTCCTGGCAGGTGGAAGATACTTCCAAGTGGCATTAAAGGCTTTTCCTCCCTCTCTCTAATGGGAGACAGAATAGTCAAAAGGCGCACAGTGATACTGCCGCAGCCATTAACTAGAGTGGAACAGAAATTGGTCTGACGAGGCCAGATTCATTAGTCACCAAGAAATACAGACTGGAGTCTCTAATCTAAGTTACAAATGAATCCTCTGTCACGAAGTGGGAACTCGCTTCATTTGCATAGTGTAAGTCAGCTTCTGATTTGTAATTTAAGGAGTTTTATTAGTCTTATCTGAGCAGAGAAGCTCATTTGAGAGATACTGAAAATGACACTGGTCAGAAATTAAGGTCATGCTGAAACTTACTACATACACACATAACTCGCTGATGACATGCTTTTATTAATTTGAAACACTCTTTATTTATTACCATTTGTACTTTTCTAGCAGAATCAAAAACGATCATTAGCCTAATCATATTCCTTAAGTAGTCTCTCCCTGCCAAAGAGAAAAAGCTATTCTCTTGCCACTGAGATATATGTCCTGGGCAACATACCAGTTATTACATTTCATACATTAACTAATACCTTAAAGGTGAACTGAAAATTTCAGTACAACAAATTCTATACACTTCAGCAGTTTTTTCTTTGCTCCCATTAAACAGGCTAAAAAGGACATTCAGAATATTACTACCTAAAAACGGACCTTCCTACCACCTTTCCTTGTCAGGTTCTCGAGTCCAACAATGTCTATTTGCAAACTAGTGACTTGCCTTCGTTCTTTCGTTCTTTTTTCTTTTTTTTTCCTTCTAGATCTTGCTGACCGAAACTGGTAGTCATGGCTTTTGAATAACCTCTATTCTACAAAATTACAAGCTGCTTTTATTTTGTTGTCATACACATATGGGTTAGTTCTTAAGGTTTGATTTACTAAGGATATGGTCCTCAGATGAGTACGATTAGAAAATAACCATCCCCCTAAAAGAAACATCTAAAATTCACATAATAAAACCAAATGCAAGCTGGTAATGTTATTCTGATCTATCACACAGAACTAGAATGGCATAGTCTACTGTCGGCCTCAGCATGCTTCCTATTACTTGGATATACCAGGGAGAAAAACCTGCTGGAGTGAACAAGGATTCTGAGCCAAACAGTGGCTTTCTGTTTCTATTAGCCTGATAAAAACCAACATAGAACATACATTGATAACTCTGTCACATTATTTCTATTCCATTTCTAGTAACCCATCCCCGTATCAACCTGATTCTAGAAATGACTCCTAAAAATTTCAGGACAAAGCCTATTTTATTTAAGAGTACACCACAGAGATAAGAAAGCAGTGACTTTTTCATGCACATATATTATGACTATACAGTCTTTGATATGATAAACTGCCAAGAATATATCATAGCTGTTTTAACTCAAGTTGTTCTTTAATCCACATAGATGACAACAAGAAACAAAGAGACTATAGGATTACTTTCCAATTCAGAGGATATTTCATTTAAATTCTTGTATGTTTGGATGAATGGAAAAAAAAGCAAAAATTATAAAGGTAAATTATTTGCTTATTCTGAGAGTAATATACCTGAGAAAAGTCAACATTTGTACAGCTGATATGGGGCACATTATATAATTATCAAAGACTGAAATACATTGGATCATGCAGCAAGATGATAAAGCGTGGCAGGTAGCTGAAGAAGGGAGAAAGCAGGGTGACAGCACAGGAGAGATACCTTAAGGTAAGCCCTGCATGTCTTCTCTCGTTTTTGGAGCTTTTTAGTGAAAGAAAAGAAAATCAGAGGTTAGATTTTGTCTGTTGAAAATGAGGGAAAAAAAGAAATCCTCAAAACTTAGGCTGGTGTTCCTGATTTCAAAGTTTGTTATGCACGGTGGTCCTCTGGATTTTTGTGAGTTTACACTGATTGCCAAAAATGCATATTTATAGTTCATAGCTGCATTTTGTTAAGTGTACTAATCCAAAGTATCACGATACAACCAGAACAAAAATGTCTGTTTTTTAACCCTATGACACCATATTACCCACAGATTTTGGCTTAATATGAACCTCCTATGCTTGTTGGGTAGTATGGTTAAAATAACTACCAATTTTTTGTCGTATTAGAAAAAATTAATGGCATTAATATACTATCCTCCTAGAGAGGCAAATGTGCCCTTCTCCCAAAACCTGCAATTGAAAGCAGTATTGTAGTGGATAACATTCCTCTGTGCATTACAATTTTAGTGCAACCACAAAAGCTTCATGTATTAGTGTACAGAGTATCTGAGACGTAGAACACATACTCTCTCCAAGTGCAGATAATGCATTCTTAAGTGGGAGTACTGACCACAATCAGGCGATGTCTGCCACCAACTAAAATCTCCCTAGAAATTTTACCTTCCCCACCCCCCCATGTTGTTCCTTTTTCAACTGTAATTCTTTCTTGGGAAATTAACCAAATTAGAAATTTTGTTTCTGAGTTTACGTAAAGGGGGCCAGAGGTTTGGCAGTCCAGGGCTGGAGGAATCAAGAGCTGCCATATAAAATGCCTGATTAAATAACAGGAAATTCCTACCTACCTTGTTATAACTCCGTCCGGCGGAATCCTTTTCACTAGGTTTCAGTTCCTGCAGCTGTGCATCAAGAATGTCCACCAACTGCTCCATCAATCTCACTGAAGAACTCACATCCCCAGCAAACACTGGCCCTTTGGTATGTTTAGCCAGTTCATTGGCAAGACTAGCAGCATTTTCTCCACTTCTGATCTGAAATGACAATTTATATTATCTCAGTATGATTTCTTGCTCTGTTTGCGGCTTCTTGTTCTTTTCCTGAGTATCTTTGTTGTGGTGAGAGAAATATTTGCAAATATGTCAAAATCTGCAACTAATTGAGGCCAGTAACTTTCTCCTCATTTCATATGATTAAAGGTTCTTAGATCCTCAACACACAAAAGAAATTCTTAACCAGACCTTTAAAAGGAATGAAAGGAAAAAAAGAAAACCAGAAATCTTTTTTTAAGTTTTTCAGATAGCTTTCTCATTTCACTGCCACCCATTTGTAAACTGCTATTTAAAAATCTTATTTATTTATTCCAATGATCCAGAAATTTAAATAAGAATGTAATCAGTACGATACTGGGAGTTATTATCTACTCTTCGCTTGCATTTCAGAAAGGTAGATGACAAAGAGGAAACTAAAATGTCACCGCATTGTGTTGTAATATTAAAGTTACTAATGCCTTTTAAAGTCGTTTTTACTTATTCTATCATAATCATCTGTGATATAAACATCTGCTTGCATTCTGTGGATTCAGTTGCAAACTTAATGGTATTTGATTTATTAGGCCGATGGGCTATTCATCTTACAAACATCAAAATAAACAGAACAAACTGAATATAAATGAAATCAAGCAAGTATCTACTCATTAAAAAGCTTAACTTAGAAAACAGCATGCCCCAAAACAGCATATGTAACTTTGAATAAATAGTTTACAGACAAAACTATACATGATTTTCTTATTTTTCTACTGAACAAAGAACAATGAAGCCAGTTTCAACATACAAAGCTAAATTATTTATGCTAGACGTTAACACCCTTAATCACCAATGTGTATCATATTAAAAGGTTCCAACCAACCTTCTGAGCCAGCTGATTTACCCAGTGTGAGGTACAGTTGCTAAGATCGGGGCCCTTAGGGTTCCATGTTCCAGTGGAAACCATGCAGAGATAGGATGCAGTTCCTACAACAGATGTAGAAAACAGCAGTGAAATTGAAACCATTTTTCTGCATGCATTCAGGAAATCAGCTACGATGATACTACACTACATGTTAAATTTTGAATAAACACCAATGGAATTGGTTGACAGTAACTGACAAAGAGTAGGGTATAATGCAGATTATAAACAGTAAATATAAAGTCAGCATAGAAATATCAGACGTTTACAGCAAACAAAGAGCCCTTGATTTTCTTGGGACTTATCCAAAACGATAGCTGCAATGAGAAAGGCAGCGGTAAGGAAGCCTTCCTGGAGTCCATGGGCAAAAAAATGTCAGGCTTGACCTCTGTAAGTCTTCAAGAGGGAGAGAGGTAATTCGGGCCTGACCTTAAATAACTTTTACCGTTCATGAGCCTGTAAGTTATCTACCAATGCTCTATTACCAAAGTTAATAAAAATAGTAAAAAAATAAGCTATCATAAACTTCTCTCTTTCCTCAAAATCACTTCAGTGTAATTCAGAACCTACTCACACTAAACTTAAAAATATAAGCTTGGAATTTTACAAGAACTACCTCTTGTTCCCTTGGGACATGGCCGTTCAACCATCATTCCCCTTTGTGTCTGAGGCCACTTTATCCCCCTCGCGTCTAATGCTTCGCAGAATCTCTCTGGCAGGGGAAAAATATTTGTTACAGGAGGAATTTTGGTTGTAGAAACTGCTGGAGGTGGTTTTGTCCCTTTGCTTCCTTCCTGTGATCCAGCTACAGTTGTGCTCATGGGGCCTTTCTGTGAAGTAGTGCTTGTGGTTGATACTGTGGTTTTGAACAGCTCAGCTGAAGAAGTTATTGTCACAGCTGTGGTAGGCACTACGGAAAAAAGATGAGTATATTAATCTCACACACACTCCCACTCATATACAGGCACACGTGTGAATGTGTATATGCACACACACAACACAAAACCCCTCCCAACCAACTATCCCAAAACCAGTAAAATGAGAATTAGTGGGAACACCAGTAGGTTGGAGAAAGAATAAATCCCCTCATTTATTCCAATTTATTCATATTGTTGGCTAAGTAATGGTAGTTTAGACTTTACTATGGATTTTTCTGTATGACTCTAATTGTCTTAAGTCTACTTCTAAATGAAATATTTGATAATACACCTTAAGTATACTTCATCATTTATCATCCAACAGAAACTGAAGGACAGTTTTAGTGTCTAGACCAGGTATATGTTACTACGAAACAATATAGAAAAATTCCTTTTTTATATAAGCCCATACCCTGTAAGTAATCAAATTCAAAGCATCAATAAAAATCTGACAATTACATATAATTAGGACAACAGAAAATTTAGTCACCCACTCTACATCTTGCAGGAAAATAAATACTGTGACATCTTTCCACCCAGCAGCCATTCTTGCTTGAGAGATTTTTAAGCATGCCTGATTAGATCCAAACAGAAGATAGGCTTGGCATGCTTGTGCTGTGTTAGTAAGGAAACATCTGAGGCTTCATTAAGCATATTTACATTTGAAAATGTAGGTAGAAAAAACAACTAGTTCTGGTCAGAGGTTACGATATAATCTCTTATCAGGATAACAGGTTAGATCAAATTATGCCCAATTTGAAACCAACCCTACATACCATACTGACAATACAGAGTGTAAAAGGAACTACAGTTACACATTTGAAATTATTTTAAAAGGTTATTTTTGATTTTCAGCATCACTTTCAAACTGTTTAATCTACCAGGTTAAAAAAAAAATGGAGCTTAATGTTTCCTTCATTGATTGCCATTTAATTAGTTTTAACAACTAAAATTCTGCCAGTAAAATTTTAATGCTATCATTTAAAATCTATTAGGTGACCACACTAAAGTTTCATCAACATTTACAGATAACTGGCTCTTGAAACCTTATACATATGATGCTTTTAATAGAGTATAACAAGTTAAAAAACTATTGTTTAAACATTAACTTTTTTTATGCTTTCTCTATAATGTAAGAAACAAACCAGAATATTAAAACTTAAAAAACAAGTTCATCTTATCACTAATATGTTCATTATTTTAAGTTCTGGTTCAAAAGTAGTTGTTCATACAGTATGGATACTATTGACAGAATATTCTAAGTCCATCACAAAAAGTAGTGTGTACTTGTTTATAGTTCTTGAAGAGTGAGAAACTTCTTGTCAAAAAAGGCATAGACACTTTCTACACCTTTTTCCCTTCTATCTCAAGAGAAATTTTTTAATCATGTGCTTTATTTCCAGGGCATAATTTATTGACCATATGAGAGATGTTGTGTCAAACATCATGTCTAGCCAGCTGCTGCAGAAACCGATTCAAACCTGTCTTTTTCTGTAAAGCACTTGCCTGACATCTTGTTAAACCTCTGTAATTTTCCTTTGATTACAATGCAGCCAGGCTTTCAGTGCTTTCTCAATTAACATTTGTCAAAAGCATCACACTCTTTTACACAACTGTCAAATGACTGCCTCTGAATCAAATCTTAAAAAGTAGTGGGAAATCGGAGCATAAATGAAAAGGACAGAGGAAAATGGTTTAGTGCCACACCATCGTATGCATCCCTTGACACTGCACTAATTCGTATGTCTTAAGTCATGGAAATATGTCTTAACAATACCACAATTAGTGATCTGCTAGCTAAGCATCAAGAAAGAATCATGATAACTGAGTCAAGGTAGGTAATAAAATGATCTCTGGTAAATGCACAAAATTTCTTGCAACATGTGAAGTAGTGCTTGTGGTTGATACTGTGGTTTGCATGTGTTTTTAATAATAAATTTCATACATTTTCACTTTTTGTTCATCAAAAGTTTAAAGTGTAAATCAATCTTCTTCAAAGTGTAAATCAATCTTCTTCAAAGATAAATCAAAGAAATATTGGGACATCATGAAAAACCTTAAAGTAAACTTGTAAGTGGCAAAACTAAACCCTTTTGAAAGGCCATCAGAATTTCTGGAATTTTGCAAAGCTGAAGTTTTGCAACTTTACAGAAAGCAATCTTTTCTAATGATGAAAACATAAGCGCAGAGGTTGTTTCTGAAAATTAACATTTCTTCCATAAGTGAAGACAGGTCCCAACGGGGCATCTGATAGTGATAAAAGCCGGCACTTATTCAGCATTTATGTACCAGATGCTACGTTAATCACCATTCATGGATCATCAGATCATCTTATTTAATCCTTACCCCACAACCCCATGAAGTAGCCACTATGATTATCTTCCTTTTACAGATGAGAAAATTGAGCCATGGTGAAGGTTAGGCAATTTGCTTAAGGTCACCTGGACATACTTTTGAATGTTATGATCTTACTTTTCTAGGCAAAAGATTTTCATAGAATCTGGAAAAAGTATGGCATCCCACAAAGTAATCTGCCCTTATTCTGGAGCATCTAACTGATACTTTTCTGTGTAAATCTCTAAAACAAGAAAAGATGTGGGAAGATAATATAAAATACTAGAGCAACAGATGATAAAAAGTTTCGTAATGTAACTTATGTGGCAAAAGATTCAAAACTCAAGAATGTCCTATAAATTGTAATAGAAAACATGGCAATTCACAGTAGAATTATATCTCCAATCTAAACCTTATTTTACAAAGTTCTGTCCCAGAGTTATCAGAGTGTCGTATCAAGCATCCAGATTAAGTGACTTAGCACTCTGCTTACTTTTGTCATTTGGGTAAGTATCCAGATTAAGTGACTTAGCACTCTGCTTACTTTTGTCATTTGGGTATAGAGACCCAAAAACAGTACTAATAAAATGCTCATAAACATATTTAAAAACTGCCCTGGAAAATTTCAACAAACACATACAGAATGCCTCAATTTACTGTGGTAGTGCTTACTAACAACAGCATTCATTTATCTTAAGGGTCGTGCTTCCCTCACCGGGGTCCACGAACTCACTCATTGTTCACTGAATGAACTCTAGTTACAATGAGTCTGTAGCCTGGAAAGGCAGAAATGCGTATTCATTAAATTTACCTTTATTCAATGTCTAAAAATAACGATCATCTTTTATTGAGCAATCATTATCAGTGGACAGATGTTTCAAGAAATGTGTATTCTATGCTAAACACTTCCTAAATAAATAAACCTAACTAGTTCTCTTGATAAAAAATTTTCCCTCATACTACTGATGTGTCTTACTTCATAATTACTCTAAGACAAATATTCAGGAACTGCCAAAACCCAAGACACAAAATTTTTTCAATATTTGGGAGGGACACCTGGGTGGCTCAGTCAGTTAAGTGTCTGTCTTCGGCTCAGGTCATGATTCCAGGGCCCTGGGCTTGGGCCCCAAGTCAGCTCTCTCCTCAGCGGGGAGCCTCCTTCTCCCTCTCTACTCCCCACAGCTTGTGCGTGCTCGCTCTCTCAAATAAATAAATAAAATCTTTAAGAAAAATAATATTCAGGACATCAAATTTGCAGACAAAGTAAATATAAAGCAATTCAGATTAAGAAACAGAGTTGAAATAGGACTCAAAGGGTTTTTCCTAAGCCCACTTTAGATGGGGAGAAGGTGAAAGGAAATAAAGAGCTAGTTTAGAGAAATGGAGCAACTGAACTATGTAGAGATAACATAAGGTTAAAAATTCAAAGGAAAAAAAAAAACATGTATCTGAAAACCATGATTAGGGCAAAGAAATAATATACTTGCCCCGTTAGGAAGGAAAAGGCTTGGGTTTATAAAAGGGGAAAAGTTTTGAAGCTAATAGACTATGAAACAGTCCACAACAAAAATTGAAAGGAATGGTAATTTTACAGCATGCTGTATACCTTAGAAACATACACAGTAGCAAATCCAGTACATAAGGCTAAACTAAAGCCAAACCAGTCAATCATTGTTTTATGACGGTTAAAGATCTGAATTCTCTGATTGCTCTGTCCTATCAGTTTTGTGGATCTTGCTTCGGAAAAGCTGACAGTGGCTTATTGATTTGACCTAAACTGATGGGTCAGAATAGTTCTGCAAGGCCCCATCTACATGCATATAGATATCAGCCCATCTGAGAGAGACAGGAGTCTCTAAGAGCACGTGAAGATAAATCACAATAGAGAGAAAAGAGAATATGTTTCAATCAGGAGCAAGAGAGATTTAGGTCATATAAAACTTGGTATCACTAAGGGTTTAATACGGGGCCAATAAGAATTTTTACTTTCTGGGAATATTTAAAAATGGCTAACTATATTGGGTAACAAAACCCAGCTGTGGAAACACAACTACCAAATAATGCCTGTTTCCCATTTTCAAAGCTGATAACTGGTTTTCAAAAGATATCTAAAGTATTGAAGACTTTTTCATCTGAAATGGATCAAATTATTTACTAGAATATAAGCCACATATGGAAAATTACATCAGTACTCATCTTGCATTCACAAAGTACTCTGTGACAAGTAGACAGGGCAATGATTCTTTGCTGAATTGAGTCTGTACTCAATTTATTCACAGTCTTTCAGGTGTTGCCTGATTATGAATTTGCATTTTTAAAAGTATTTTATTTCTCTTTTTCCTAATGGAGGGGGAAGAGATTTATTGTCGCCCCAAACAAATGTAACAGCTGTGAGAGTAACACAGGTTACAAAAAAGATTAACACAGAAATCAATATACAATGTCAGATTTTGTCAATTCCTGAATTCTGCCTTTGACAAACCTATAGGATAAAGGAGAAGGATGGTACTAGCTTTTAGAAAAACAGCCGAGACATTGGGGGCTATGGTGAGTGCTGTGAATTGTGTAAGACTGATGAATCACGGACCTGTACCCCTGAAACAAATAATACATTATATGTTAATAAAACAAGGAAAGAAAAAGAAAAACAGCTGAGATACAGAAAACGTCCCAAATTGCTGGCCTTATGAGAAAAAGATATGTCTAAATTTAAAAGTAAATGATTCTGGGGCCGCTGGCTTGCACAGTCGGTTGGCTAAGTCTCCGACTCTTGGTTTTAGCTCAGGTAGTGATCTCAGAGTCCTGAGACGGAACCCCACGTCAGGCTCTGTGCCCAGCACACAGTCTGATTGAGAGTCTCTCTCCCTCTCCATCTCTGCCCTTCGGTTCATGTTCTCTCTCTCTCTCTCTCTGTCTCTCAAATAAATAAATAAATATTTAAAAAATTTAAAAAAGTAAATGATGCTATGATATTATCCTTGAAGATTTAATTGCTGAAAATTTAACAATGGACATTACTACTATAAATTTAATGCATAAAAATCCAGCCATACGTGAATTAGAATAAAAGGGGTATTGCGTTAAGTCAATGTCATTATTCTCTTACTTTTTAAAGAAAAAAAAATCACATATTTTGGTATACTATAATGATTCAAATTAGAAAGTCAACTATAAAAAGTTGTGACTTTTGCTTTTAAGGTCCTTCCTGACCCTATTACAATATTTAGAATTTAGTAACAGTATATCTTAAAAAACATTTAGGTACATGTAATTATGTTTAAGTGTGTAGAGTGTAAGTATTGCTTTGACAGAAAGATATACTAATTTCTTTTTCACCTTGTTGAAGAGATTGATTTAGTCACTCCAAAGAACTTCTTGGTTCCTAAAATTTTCAAGTAACTTAATAATTGGAAAATTCCAAATAACTGAGCATATTGAAATATTCAGATTTTTAAAACACAAATATTATTGTTCAAATAGAAAAGACTTATAATTAGTACAAACTCTGTAACAACATATGAATAGGTTACTTTTATCATGAGTATGAGATAATCTTGTTTTAAGGAAATATTCATTTAATTTACCCTCATAAATTGTTTCCCACAGAACTGAATTCAGTTGATCAACTAAAATATATTTCCCAAGATTTTACATTACTTTCTAAAGTAATGATCTTCCACAAAGATACCTAAAGAGACACAAATCGAAAATGTTAGCTGATCCATCTTCATAAATCATCGCATGGGATCATTTAATGCTTAGTGTCTATGTGTGACAGTTAAAGTCAAAGAAATGTTTACTTAAAACCATCACTAATTTATCAGGAAATAGGAAATAAAAATGTGTAATTTTACTAGGAGTATGTTAGATGACTCCCTCTCCTATCCAGACAGCAGATACCAAAACTTCAGAACATTATGCCTGACATTGTACATCAAGCCTAGCAATTCTCCTAGGACTTCCTAACACACATTTCCCTTAACCACTGGCGCCAAGAAGTTAAAAGGTCTACACACAGATTGTAATCAATTCAGAAGTCAGGTAGGAAAAAAACAAAACAAAACACAAAGCTAACAGGTTTGTAGCTGGTATTATATTTTTAGCAATGAAAAACTGAACTGACCAATGATGCTACAATTTTCTGTCGTCAACATTTAAATGAAAAAATTCAGAGAAAGAAAATAGGCCAAACTAAGGCTAAAATGTACCCACTATGTGACAGCAGGAAATACATCATCCTTTGAAAAGGAGAAGGAAACAGACAGGAAAAAAACTTCCAAGTCTTTTAAAAATAAGCTTAAAGCCAAAAGCATTAGCAAGCCAACATTCTTACCTTGGGCAGGATCAGGTGGACCAAACTCCAGAGAATATCGTAAAATGAAGTTATTGTTCCACACGTAGAGTTGGTTATCTCTAGGATTGTAATCCACTGCAGCAATATACTGGTATTGGTTGGGGAAGGGAACATCTACATATTCTCCTCGGTTTAATCGGGTATTGTAAATGTAATCGATTGCATTCTTGCCTGTTTCACTCTCATTGTCTTGATAGACTGACCTGACCACATAGAGGACTCCGCAGATCATAAAAGCATTTGATGCAGCACGTTTGTCATACACAGTCTCCCACGTTGCTTCAAATCGAAGAGTATATGGATTTAGTTGGCTAATAACTATCATTCCATTGTTTTGTTCAGTGGCGTAAATGACCCATAAGCCATTTTCATCAACGGCTAAGTCGATATCAGTCTTCCCTCCCCATCTATATGGTGAGGTATCATGATAGTTGGCATAGTTAATTATGGCCTCTCCACTCTTAATTCTAGTCCTCAAGTCAAATTTCACAATGTTCCTGGTTCTCTCTTTGTTAAAGAAGACAGCACCGTCATACACCACAAATCCAGTACCGTCTACTCGATTGGGAAGTTTGTATGTCGTTGTTTGGCGACTATTCTGGAAATCTTCTAAAGAAGCATATTCTATTAAAGTATCAGTACGATAGGGAGTCCAGGGCATGAAATAAATTTTATCTGCAGCCTGAAGAGGGTCCTTGCACCAAGCACCTGCCTTTTGTTCAGCTTCATATATACATGGTGAATCCACAATTGCTTTCAAGGTCCCAGGGCACACAAAAACTAACAGTCATAGAGAAAAGACAACAATTAAGCCAAGTTAAAAAATGAAACAGGCAAACACAAATTTTAATGATCACAAATCAGAAGAGAAAAAAAAGTGTTTTATTAACATGAGATTTAACCAAAATTTATACTTAATACCATACCACCCTTCTTTCCTCAAGTTACAATAATCGATGTAGCAGCATACAAAGTGGCTGGGGTTTATTTTCACACATACAAGCCTAAGTTTTTCATAACTGAGCTGACAACGTACAATTTTGTTATGGTTTTTAATCTTATAATCTGGTAATTAATATTTCAAAACTTTGAGCTTTGTGTGTAACATGTACAAAGTACTTTATTTTAGTCCCAACTTTGTCCCCTTACCTCCCCTATCCTACTTACAAACCCCCAAAAGCAAAACACTAAAATAAAGGAAATAAAACAAAAACCCAATGTGAAGGCTTATTTAGAACTTTTATAAAAGTCAGACTGAAAACAAAGGTGCTTCAATTGAAGAAACATAAATATTCAGGAAGTGTAATTAGGAACAGAGAAAAGTAAATACAAGGAAAGCAGTGATGAAACAACCAGGAGACCCTGTAACCATGGCATGCTATGGTGAGGGTTCTGGAAGCCAGGCAGGATGACACTTTAATAATAAAATATCCAGGGGTGTCAGAAAAAGAGATAAAGGGTGAAAAAGAAACCCAGAAAGGAGCAGCTCCCCCTCGCCGACTTCAGAATTTTTACCCCATCACCAGATTTAGCAGTCATATAATTTCATCGTAAACAGTCGACTTCTTTATGAGGTGCATTTATGAGATCCTGCTGATTATTTTAATGTCAGGAGTGTTGTGGAGGGAGGGAAGGGAGGGGTGACATCCATAAGGCACATAACAGGGAGCTGGGGTTCAGACTGTATACGTTATTTACCTTTTTGCTCCACTTCTATTTTAAGCATCGGAAGAAAAACAAAAAAAAGTGCGAGGAAAAAAGAAAAAAGATTAAAATAAATTGACTATTAGTCTAAGACTGAATTCGTAATAGATGCTAAATATAGGAAGAATATGAGCTGTACTACTTTGGATAAAGAGAAACACACAACAGGAAAACCTAGCAGGAGAAAGATTCTAAAGTTACATAAAAGAACATGGATCAATCATTTTAGTAGATTAAGGAGGCAATACAAATATGTTGGCATGTTGCTTCACTTAGTGTACCTGAATAAATAATGAAACTCTTCACTAATGCATGGTATATATACTCTTGCCTTTCTAAAGTCACTCAGCATTTTTATCCAGTTTTACTTTATATACGTATGCTACAGACACAAATGCATGCAAAGGTGTATCATCCCCATCTATCTTATTATATGAGCTCATTATTAAATTGACTAAAATCAGGTAAGCATAGCAACAGGAAAATATATCATAAAAAAACGAAACTCAATTTTGGACCTTAGGTCAAAATTAATGAATATTGATATGGTTATATTTTAACACTTTCCCAAAGACATTTATGTAAGAATAAATATATAATCATGCATCTTAGTACTTTTTAATGTCTCTTTATTATTTTCTATTTCTAGAAAAATCCATCTTAATCATAAGGGAAAAAATGCCTCCTTTGCAGGATATATAAATCTCCCCTGCTACCCCAATAAGGATTCTGAAGGGTGGGGTAACGTAGTGTCTTTCTTTCCCACCAAGAATTAGTAAATTTGCTTATTTAGGTTTATATATACTTTACAAAATAAAATTCTTACTAAATTCCCTATATTACATATCTCAAACTTGTTATATTAAGTCTATTTAAAAAAAAAAAAAAGTAAGCAAAATACATACAAGGAAAAAGCAAGCACAGTAGGCAAGGAGAAAAAGGAAGAAAGAATTATGGTTAGCTTATTATGACATTGTCTACCATCATCAATTTACACAGAAAGCAAGCTGGCATGCAACGACAATCATACCAAGCATTCAAAGCAAATACCTTGACTCCACAGACCCCATAAAAGGTAAATGCTTTCATAAAACAAACCTGATTAGTACTGTTATATGAGAGAAAAAAATCCTCCCTCCAAGAAGTCTAAAGAAACGGATTATACAGTTAGGAAGGGTGCTATATAAGATTCTTGTTGGTAAATAGAAGTCTAATAATTACAAACCATAAAACACTATTTTAGATTGTATGTAGGCTCTGAAGTATGTTGCCTGAATTTCATAAAGTGACCAGATTAATGTCTGTGAATCTCCCTCTTTCCTTATTAAAATGCATCAGGGTGTGCTAATATTCTATCTCCAAACTGATTACTCAAAGACACTGTAGTTGCACATTTCATTAAATGTCTTAGCTTGATTAATTTTTAAAAATTACAATAATTCATCAAGATTAAATACTGACCTCCTGAAATACCTCAGGGAGAAATGCCATACAAATATTTTGCTACAGGAATAGCATATAACCCTCTGCATTAAGCAATACCACATCCCCATCCAATTTGGTCTATTTGACCACTTTCAGGAAACATACTTGCCCTATAATGTGTAATTCTGACTATATCCAGGAAAAGTAAGTTCAGCGTTACTGATATGAAAGAGTTCTTTTTTATAAACCAGTAGGCCTAAAACTACTCCTCAACGAAGAGCAATATTATACCTGTTTAGAATCAATAACAGAAGGGCGTGGTGGGAAAATGAGGATAAGAGAAATTATTAGTCTTGTGACTTCTCAGACTATATTTATATACAGCCATATTCTTTTTTTCAGGAAAGAATGATTTTACTGAGTGAATCAATTAAATGTAAAGGATGGGAATAATACATTTTAAAATATGTTACATATTTAAAACAGAACTTAAAACAAGTTCATTAAGGAATGTATAAAAATATATTTGTTTTCCATTCATTGAAAATGGCTAGGCTTTATTATGTGATACACTAAAATGACCGTGCATTTGCTTAGCACAATATTAAATAGGGAAGTCTTCCTTTGTGATTTAACTAATCACTTGAAGAAAAGAAAATGTATAGAAGTTGTACATAATTTAAAACTGATGAAAACAGAAGTAACACCCAAATGTAAAAATAAAAAATAATTAAATAAAACTTTGATGATTGATGAATCATGTAAGATATGGATATTGAAAACAAAAGTCCTTACATTATGATTTTTATGAAAACCCAAAGGACAGAGATCTGTCAAACCAGCCAAAACTTCATCAACCCAGAAGAATATAAAAATACAATAAAATTAATGAAATTAGCATTCTTCATCACATGCCAAATGTATATTGCAACTTGTTTTAAAAGACTGTATGAATTAATTCATAACAATACATTTGCTATTCTATAGACCAGACATAAATACACAACCCACTAACATCAGTGGAGGACTAGATGGATATCCAAGAAACAAAACTGCCCCAAACAAACTTAAGCCTACATACTCTGTATCTGAAGTGACACACTATTTCATTTTGAATAATCTCACACTGGTTCATTAAAAAATTTAATTAATAGTAATGGTTATTTTCTCAGACAAAACTTATAGCTAAAATTATGGTATAATTTAATGATAATTTGAAAAAGAGGGCACAAATATCAAAACCAATCTTGCCTATAAGGTACCAAATTCTAATAATTATTTTCCTTTAGCCTATAAGATCTTTATGATTTCTTTTAAACACATACACATTCAATTAATAACATTTCTGTTAATGATAAAGGATAAGCGGGACACATACATTTTTGACACAGGCATTATCTGGGTAGGTATCAATGTCACATATAATATTACATGTGTCTGTCTATAAACATAAAAAGTAAAACAAACAATGACATTTCTAATAAATTCTGTTGAGTAAATTTATTATAAAATTTTTAAAAATCATGGAAAATTTCTGGATTTTTTTTTTAAAGGAGGGAATGTATTTAGATGTGTAAACCGCTTGAGAATTTGCTCTGGATAGAAACTGGCATAAAGCCAGATGGTAAAAGACATATAATTAATGTTTTAGTGACAATTTTTAATCAACTATATAAAGTTTGAAAGGGGTATGCAAATGATACAAAGTACTAAAACAAGGAGGAGGGGCATCTGGGTGGCTCAGTAGGTTAAGCATCTGCCTTGAGCTCAGGTCATGATCTCAGGAGACTGGGATAGAGCCCCACATTGGGCTCCCTGCTCAGTGGGAAGCCTCTCTCGCCCACTCCCGCTGCTTGTGTTCCCTTTCTCGCTGTCTCTTTGTGTCAAATAAATAAATAAAATCTTTAAAAAAAAAAAAAAAAAAAAAAAAAGGGGAAGGGAAAAATACAGGCTTAAAATGAAAGTATAAGGGATGGGTATAACAGAAACAAAGACACAAAAGGAGAGGAAAATAAGGAAAAGAGATAAGGATATATATAATCATACCTAATGTCAAAACAATTCAAATGATTCTTTGCATTAAATTTCAGTATTAGTGAAAATCATGCAATAGATAGTGTGTCACTACTGTACAGTATATAGGAATTATAATTCTATTCTTTAGCATGGAATAATTTGGGGGAAAAAAAAAAAAAGCCAGACTTATTTCTGCCTCGTGCAAACATCTAGAAAGGTAACAGCAAATTAATTACAGGTTTTTTTTTTTTTTTTTTTTTAAGGACAAAAACTAAAAAGAACAAATACTTCTCTGAGTATAGCTATTTGCAAGTTTAGTGCACAGTATACAATACTTCTGGAGAACTGAAAAAGTAAAATTTTGAAAGTTAGATGTTCCAGAAGATATCCACATTTTCCTTTCTAAAACAGCACAAGAAATAACTTAAAGAGTCTGAAAATAATATTTGCTTAACACTGTTCTTGGTCTATAGACTAGGTTACAGGAACGGGCTCCAGAAAGACAATTCTTGGCAGCTCTGACTGATTCCACTGTTTGGGAATGGATGCTGTATTCCTTTTCTAATTTGAGGACAGAAACCATGATAAATTCAAATGAAAGTGACTTTACGGAACAAAATTTTGGTTAGCTCAAAAGAATACAATGTTCCTCTAGTGGCACAGGAGAATGATTATGTAAGCCACCAACACTACACACAAGAGAAATAATATAAAGATCAGTGCACTCAGTAGGCTTCCAATCCTACAAATGGTATAGAAAATACTGAAAACATAAAAAGCATCCATTTCACAGTAACACAGGAACACAGAGCGGGGATGAAAAGAAAAGATAATCTGTGTTTGGCCTTTAACTGATACCCACAAAAAAACAATTTATCGAAACTGTGGGCAGAGAGGAGAGAGCCCGCACCTTTCACAGGACATGTTAGAATGTACTACTAGTATATTGGACATATATTTATCTGAATTCAGTCCTTTGGTTTTAAAAATATTGATAGTTTGGACATAGAAATCTACCAGGAATAATGACCTAGCTTTTGAGGTTCTGGAAAAGGCAATTTCATTATTTAGTTTAAATCCACCTTTTTAAAAGAGGGAAGTGTGTAAAACTTTCTCAGATCATTGCTGCTAAAGATAATTGCTGCTGAAGAACTTCAATTCAAATGCCCATGAATCAAGGTTACAGGATACATTTTTTTTTTTAATTTGAAAAAGTAAAGAACACTATTAAACAAACTAGCTTATGGAAAATTACCTAACATACTGAAACTTTTGGTTGTCTAAAATGCTTTTTTCTACTGAAAGGGCAGAATACAATTCAGCAGTATGAATTCTGAGGTTAGGAGGAAAACTACACAGAATTAGAGCAGGAGCTTAAGACTACTTAAGAAACTTCCACCTTAATTTTAAATATCCTTCTACAGGAGCTAGTGGATGTTGTCAAATTAAAAAATAGACGCATATGCAAAGTTTTGTTCTATCTATTTTATTTACTCTTAAGATTTTAACCCTGAATCTGGTAAAAGAAATGCTCCTGTAAGGACAAGGAAACAAAAAAAGGAAACCACTTTCCTCAGTTACTACAATGGTAGCTTTTACCGGGCACTAAAGTTACCACAACAGCAGGTAGCCATTCAAGTAGCTCACGATTAAAACCGAAGTCAATTCCTTCTTTAGAAAACTGTGAGCCAAACCAATTTGTCAGCAACTGGTATTGGGCAAAAGTACAGATTTCTATCTGCCCTAGTGAATAGCTAATTCAAGTTTGTTTTCTGGAAAAACACTAGTCTTAAAAGCCAAACACTTAAGAACACAGACAGACACTTGGCCAGCATCACACTGTGGCTTCCTTCCACACTTCATGAAGCTAATTGGAGGCCCGAGTCTGTTAGTGCTCTGCATGCATAATGGTTTTGTAGGCCATAAACATATGCTTCTTTCACATGTGTAGTCTTTCAGCATCAACAAGGAATGCTGGAGGAAGTGAACACCACAAACTTCATACTTACTGTAAGGGACACATTCATACTGGACTTCAAGATATTTGTATGTTCCAGGACAGGGATCAGGAAATACATCTGACCCAGTAACTACTATACACTGTGTTCGATTGTTGCACCTAGAAAACAAAACAAACCAAATTTGTGTAACATAATCATTAGTTTGTTTCCAATAAAGAAATCTAATACAGAACTGATTCATATTTTCTTTAAGCAACTAGTACCGTAAAACAAAAAATTCAACTGATATTAGGTTGCTCCACATTATTAAATACAGAGCCATAAAAATCCTATTTTATGTTGTACTATTTCTGTATCACAGGCCACACTAAATTTTCATTCAAAGTAAAAGGAAAGTAACAGTTCTCTATTATTCTACTATACATCTAGTTGGAATTTTTAGCATTTTCAACATGTACTAAGAAAAAAGTATACTTGGCATGTTTAAGAACTAAAATAACAATTAAAAATGATACTATGGTTAAACAGAAATAGTCAGAAATTGAATAGCTTGGAAGTAAGTTCTAAGAACACATTAAAACAAAGAAGCAGCCAGGTTTTTAGGTTTATCCATTAAATCCAGTTTGTGTTACGTTTTCTATTACAGGGACTTTTTGCACTCTTCCATAACAGATAGCAAGCTGACAGATCATACCTTCAGTGCTCTGGCTTGATCGATGACAGAACACATTTAGAGCCCAGAGCACAGTGCCTGACACATACTGTGTCTAAGACTGTTCTTACTCCTGTCATGTTCATGGATCCCCACATGCTTATACTAAATACAACATGACTATGAACCTAGGTTCTTCTAAATTAATACTCTCTGAAATAGAATGTTAAAGAGAAGGGCACTAACATGATATCTAAGATGTCCTACTTATTAAGTATTTTATTTTTATGTTGTCACTTACTCATCAAGATTATTAGGATTAAGATAGAATTTTAGGTAAGATGATATTTATTTAAGTTCTATGAATTTTTCAAAATGATCTTTTTATAAGCTTTATAAAGGCAAGAACCATTTCCCTTTATAATTCGCCCTGATTACAACTCAACGGAATGTAATGTTTGCAGGGTTTTATTATATTTTGAGATAATGCATAAATTAAGAAGGCAAAGCAAGCAGAACAAGAGCATTATAACAAAATTTATTTAACGATCTGAATACCAAATATTCTTAGAGTGTGTAAAATAACTGGACTATAAAATGGCAGATAAAGAATGAAAAAAAAAAAAACAAAAACCCAGCTCCGTCTTTTTTTTAGCATGACGACTAACGAAGACAGTGGAAGGAGACATGCATTAAAGAGGGGTAGGTATGTTAAGTCATGCACCCTTGCAGCCATTTCAACTTAAACCAGGCAGATTCGTCCTTGAAGAGCAGCAAGACCTGAAAACTCCTACAGGATCAAACAGGTAAGTTTTATAGGTCAAAGTATATACAAAAACTTCAAACAAAAGTCCTAAATATTACATAAACTATAATACTGCTTGCACAGATATTAAACTAATGATAACTTTTATCACAATTCATCTAGAATACTGTATGTTATTTATTTTAAAAAACATACCACATAGAATAATTTTCAAAAGCACAGACAATGGAAATGGTGCAGTGCCACATTCTTAGGCAACATCATGTTTTACTTCCATTATCTGCATTTCTCTTAAACTGATTCAATCATTTGAAGAAATTTGCCAGTGGTTCTCCATTTAGTGTAAATGAATTATTTTAACGTGAATCACATAACCAATTTCATATCTTAAAATTTTAAACAACTGATGAATTTAAGATTTGTCAATAGATCAATATCTAATATTTCATATTTTCTTCTTTCTTAAATTTTACAACAATAAGAGAGTTCCCCACTTTGTTAGAGTTTCTTGATCTTCCAGGAATCCTCAACTACTACCTGGTCCTTTCCTTCCTTATACTGACTTACACCTGCAGGGATCCCCCGTTTTCTCATTCCCATACCTATCAGAAACAAGCAAATCTAAACTCCTGCGATTTGACATCCCTGTTATATATTCCCTTAGTGTGCCTTTTACAGCTACTCAACAAAACCCTGCCATGTTTCCAGGAAAACATGGCCAGAGTAAGGGAGTTGCACTCAATGTTGAAATGGACTAAGACTGTGAAGGATTTTGGACCAGGGTGAAAGAGGATATAGCCCAAAGGATTTAGGAATTTATATGATTAAAAAAATAAATAAATAAATAAATAAATAAATAAATAAATAAAGTATATACTGGGGCACCTGGTGGTGCAGTTAGTTAAGCCTCTGACTTAGGTCTGATCTCAGGGTGCTGAGATGGAGCCCCATGTCAGACTCCGCACTCAGCACAGAATCTGCTTAAGACTCTCTCCCCCTCTCCCTCTGCTCCTCCCCACACCCACACATGTGTTCTTTCTCTCTCTCTCTAAAATAAATAAATACATCTTTTAAAAAGTAAAGAATATATCGACAATTATCCATTTTCCCCCAGATGATCAGATAAATAAATATGAATATAATATAGGATCAAAAATGTCTTTTATTTGGGGCACCTGGGTGCCTCAGTTGGTTGAGCATCTGCCTTTGGCTCAGGTCATGATCCTACATCGGTTCTCTGCTCAGAAGGGAGTCTGCTTTTCCCTCTCCCTCTGCCCTTTCCCCCTGCCCATGCTCTCTTTCTCGCTCTCAAAAAAATTAAACTCTTTAAAAAATATCTTTTATTTCATATTTTTTCAATGCCACAGGATGTCTGCAAGAGGTATACAAGGGGTAAGTATTCCTTCTTCCATTACATTTTGTTTAAGAGAGACCAACACCATAAAATGAGGAATAACTATTCATATTTACTTTCTCTGAACCTTTTTGCATTAGTCATCTGACCACAAATACAAGTTCAAATGAATGTCAAAAGCAATTACCACAGTTTGTATCAACCATATGATTTTTATTTCTTTTAATAATCACACTGTACAAAACATTTACTTTATGAAAGCAGAAAGTGTTACAGGGTTATAATCTTAAGTAAAATGAAGGTAAGAAGACTTAACGGAGTTCCTGAAAAAAAATTATAAAGATTTCTAGAATTCAAAGCTTCCCAAGATGTCAAAAATATTCTTTTTATATATTGGAAATACTAGAAATTGATCTTGAGAAAAAAATGGAATTGGGGGGCTAAAACAGGATCGGCAAGAAGAGAAACGCAATTGTAAGAAGAATAAGACTATCAGATTTACATACCAGTATCATGGGAAAGAATACCTAAGCTTTTGGAGAACCAAGTGATGGAAATAAAATACAATTATGTACATTCATTTATGAACGAAGAAGTGAAAGCCTGAAGTTTTCAAATTCAGGAAGTGTGGGGACACAAGGGGAAAGAAAATACCAAATGTGAGCTGTTAGGACTGAGAAAAATCTGAAACTCCTTAACCAGTATATTGTTAGTAAGATTGTAAAACTATAAACGGCTCTCATTTAAGAAGATAGGGAAAGAGAAAGTAATTAACCACAGAAGCAAAGTAAATTCTCACCAACTGCTCTGCTTCAAGTTTTCATTCTAATGAAAATGAAAAGGTACAACTAAGCCAAGAAAAGAAGGCCTTCATTTGCTTGTATTCTCAGTCCTGGGCATAGTTCCTGACTTGATTTTCTCCCTCTTCCCCCACAGAAAAAGATTTATCAGTCAAGGCATGGCTTCTATTAACTATTAGATTATCGGTATATTTTGGTAATATTATATGGATTCATTGTTAAAAATCTACACCTTTCTTAAACCTTAAGCATAAAAAATTAAGTATGAATGAAAACAAGGCAGAAGAATACGGTTTTTTAAAACAGGTGCATCTCATTTACGCCCATTTTTAATAACAGAAGGAAGATATAATCTTTTCCTAAATATTTGCTAGCTAATGAAAATTTCTAACACTAAATAAATCTGGAAATAAAATTTTTGACAATCTGTGAAATTACACCGTGTTTCCTAGGAGAATGTCATTAAAAATACTAACAACAAAAAAGATCCACTCTAATCACTGTAAATTTTTCTATATTCAACCTCTGACTTCTTTATTAAAACAAATTTTAATAAGGTGGTTCAACTACAGGAAGAAAATAATCGTTTTTAGAACTTGAGGGCATAAATGCAACCCTTGCAAATAACGTCTAACCAATCTCTGGGGTATAATGTATGCTTTAACACCAACTAGTAGATAAATGTAGAAGTACCTAATAAGCACTCAGTCTCAAAGTCTAAGCATTTAATCATTTTTAATACTTAAGAACATTTCCAAAAATTTCCAAAAGTTGGCATGTACAGACAAAAGGCTTATTATTTCACATCACTGTGTTAAAACCACTGTTAAAAATATCACCTATGTATTATTTCTACACATTATTTTAGGTTGTAACTTTCTATCATTTTAAATATTTTTTCTACTGATTTTCTTACTAATCTAAAATATACAGAGTACAACACTCATCCTGAGAATTCCACATGTTACTAAAATAAATCCAATAATAAATGCTTTGTAACATTATCAAATTCAAACACCAGAAGAAAAGTATTATTTCTGATATTAATATTCATAAAACTTACATTTTAATCATAAAACCCATCATCTACAATGATGAAAATCCTAAATCCTGCTTTATAGGTCAAAAAGCTGCTTTAAATGGAGCAAAAAACCTGAATTTTAAAAATTAGTTTAAAACTAATTTATGCAAGTCTTTTTACTTTAAATGGAAAAAAATATTCTACTTAGGAATGAAACCAAATGTACATCTCAAGAGCTGATGAAAATAAAACCGCATAATTTTGGAGATTAATACCTATTGGTTTACTTCCTATGCATAAGGAAATGACAATACCTTTGTTTCTCAGCAAAATTCAGAGTATGATATTTAAAGTCATTGATAATGTCTAGGTTTGTGCATAATATATAATAGAAAAATACTTTACAAAATATCTAATGACTCTCTTAACAATCACAATTAGCATATGGTAAAAGTTAAAAGTATTAAAACTGTATTTACCTTCCAGATGTAATCAATATTCTCAGGTTTCAATATTAACTTTTAAGTCATCCACAGTCATTTTTGAAATTAAGTTAAACGTTGCC